TTGATTGTCTGTTGGCCAGCCAGGTGTGACCCAAAGAGTGTTGTCTTGGAGATTGCCCCCGTCTAAACTATAGGATGTGCCTGGGGTTGGGGCCAACTTCCTTGTAATGGGCCAAGGCCTCTGGGAAACTTTTTCTCTCTGTGAACTAAAATCTTTTAAAACTTTTTCTCTCAGCAAACTAAAATCTTTCAAAGAATAGTGACTGCTTCTGTTCCCTGACTGTATTGTTCTGTTTTCAGATTCTAACAGGAAGCTTGATCGTCAGGTTGTTGGGGAAAGAAAGGTGGCTTCTCTTCCACAGTTTATTCTTTAAGCAAGAATTTCAGATGTGTTAATGAATACTGAGTACTTAACTCCCATTAGACTCTGTTGTAAGCACTGGAGACAATGCCAGTGGGTTGGACAAAGTTCTGCCTTGATGGACTTTACACATTAGTATGAGAAATAGAAAATAAGCAGAGACACGATGAAGAAAGTAAGGCAGAGTGAGGACATACTGACTTCAGAGGTTAGTGTAGAGTTGACATCTGTCCAGAGGTGGAGACTGGAAGAGGCTGACCATGAAAATCCCTAGGAGAAGATGGACACCTAAATAAAAGTCCTGTGCTTTCTTCTGCCAGCTTTTCATCTGAGCTTTGAACTGTTCTGGGGGGGGGGGTTTGAAGAAAAGCAGGGGGAGAGAAGAGTGGAAATCTTCAAAGTCAACCCTAGGCACTGTCTTTATCATGATCTGTCTTCTTAGCAAACCTTCAGAAGACCTTAAGATGTTGGCTTGTCTGGGGGGAGTGCAGTGAGACATGGATACAATACTCCTACCTAAATGTTGGAATTAGTTACACACATAGACCATCATACCTGGCTTCCTTTATATTCTTGTATTTAAAGGACAGCAACAAAATCAAAGAGAGTATGGATAAAAATTCATTACAAAAAAATGCAAAGCCTGATAATAAATTAGAAGCTAGCCTGGGCTAAAAATATAATGGGACCCAGAGAGGGGACAGGGCATGCACAGCTGGTGGTATTATTCTCAACTCTACTCAGTCTTTGTTCCCTTGAGGCCCCTGTTAAAAGACTTTGATTTGAGTGTGCACAATGGAAAGTGAAATCAGAACTCTTAAGTGATCTAGATTGCCTATTAATCCAAATATCATCATCTTTTTCCCATTTTGCAGTTTGATAGAATGCAGGTGTTAGTCTGTACTGTATAGAGGCCAGTAGGCCTTTAGGTGAAAGATTGACAGTTGTTGAGAGTATACCATCGCTGACCTTCGTCCCCTCAAACTGTGTTCTCTATTGCTCTGTGCTGCTTTGGTCTGTAGTCTGGGCACTTCTCCCTTTTGAACATACTGCTCTTTGTTGTTTGGTTGGTTGGTTGGTTTTTTGTTTGTTGGGTTTTGGGTTTTTGTTTGTTTGCTTTTGCTACTTCTGATTGATTGAATCTCACACATGTTAAGTATCTGCTCTACCACTGAACAATATCCTCTTTCTCCTATTTTGAATAGGGTCTCTTTTAAGTTAGCCAGGTGACTTTGAACTTACCTTATAGTCCAGGCTGGCCTTGAACTTGTGATCCTCTAGCCTCTGCTTCCCAAATAGCTTGGATTATTGTTGCAGGGTTGTGTCATATCTTTTTCTTTTTCTTACTTGATTTGTTTTGTTTTGCTTGTTTGTTTGTGGTTTTTTTCCAGTATTGGGACTCAAACCCAAGGCCTTGGTCATGGCCCTGTGTGTATTCTATACTTGTTTATATCCACTGGGATGTAAGCTTCTTAAGGCAAGCACTTGGTATAATTCATTATTCTCTACATTCTTGGGCAACTCTTAGGCATATGACATCCATTAAGTATTTGGAAAATGCATAAAACAGGTGTTACTTCAGTTTCTTTAGCTTAGTTGCCCCATCAGAGTAACTAGAGTCCAGACAAAGGAGGTGGTGTAGATCCTCAGTCATCATCCTATACCAAATTCTGACTGAGACATGAATAATGAATGAGTGGAATGTAGGAGAGGAGTTGGTGTATCAGCCCCCAAATGAAACACCATTGAATTTTGTGAAGTGTACATGGATCCTGAGGCCAGGAACTGTTGTGCTGCACCTCCTATTGATTTTCATAAGTTTAGTATTCAGACTTTTAATAGAAGCAGGTTAGATACCTATTTCCAAGTATTTTTCTGCCATAGATATAATTGTGATCGTTGACACATGAAATCAAAGTATTTACCTATTTGTGTCTTAGTGACAATTTCATTTTTAGATTTAAAAGAAAGCCTCAGTGGTTTTTATAAGATAAAAAATTTTTAAACCAAGTATTTAAAAAAGATGTTAGGGGCTATAGACATGGCTCAGCAGTTAAAAGCTCTGGATGTTGTCCCAGAGGACCCAGTCTTGATTCCTAGCACCCATGTGGTGGCTCACAAGTGGTGGCTTTTTCTGGAGTACTCTCTTGTGACCTCTGTGAGCACTGAACGTACATGGTGGACAGACTGACATACTGGCAAAACACCATACCCATAAAAGTAATTCATTAAAAGGAATACATTAAATTCACTTAATGATCAGAAGGAACTCAATTTTCTTTGAGAAATAAAGACCTTTTTTTGTCATTTCAGGGATGGAGAAAGGAAAAGTATGAGTGTTGAAAGGTAATGCTTACTCTTTTATGTTAAATAAAAATAAAGTTAATGACCCATTATTCAATGTATGTTAAACTGTTTCAAGTTCATTTTTAGTAAAGCATCACTACTTTACTACATACTACAATAAAAAAAAAAAAAAAGCCTCACAATTTGGGCAGCTTATTCCCCTGAGGTTAACACCTAAGCTCAATGCAGTGTCTTTGGCTACTGTACTAGCAGAAAAACAACACAGTTGGCATTTACATTCTTTGATACAGCTGTTACTCCTGTTACAACATCAGGGAAAACTAAGCATTTTAGGATCTCTAATCTTCTTTATAAGAGCAATCAAATATTTGCCTGAGAGTCATAAAATACTATAGTGGGAGTTCTAAGAACTTCAGATACTGGTCAAATGAGTAGAGGTTTCAAGTTACATGTTGAGCATTTCTGATAGGAATTTCTGTAATGGTCCAAATCCAAGACTTCCTGAGCGCTAGATGCTATCACATTTTATGTGATGGGTTGCAGTCAAAACACAGATTATTAGAACACCATGTATAATAAGTAACTTCAGGCTCTGTGTATAAGGTATATATAAAACAAATGAATTTTGTTTTTAAACCTGGGCCCCATCTGAGGACAGCTCACTGTGCATAAACAGATATTGTAAAATAAAAGTGTTTCAGATAAAGAATCGAGCCTGAAGTAATATTGGTAAGGGAGAATTTAGAGATTGTCTAGTTTTGTGGGGCTTAGAATCTTGCTTGGAGCCACATGAAATCTTAATGGAGCTTTGTTTAGGGAAAATGTTTCCATTTTAAAAGTCCCTCAATTATTCTTCAAAATATCAAAACTGTTGAGACATTTAAGAGTCACTAGCTGGTTCTTTTCTTTTTGAAAACTTGGATTTTCAAAAATTCATTAGGGTATCAAATTTGGTATGAAACTAGGGGAGGAAGGTCCCAGTTCACAATCACTTATAAAGTGTTAGCTTCTCTGGTACGTAAAGAGCTCATGATAAGAAAGCACCAATATGCCAGTTAAAAAATGAATGAAGAGCTGAGTATTGTGGCATACATGCCCTTAATCCTAGCTCTAGGGAGGCAGAGACAGGCTGATCTCTGTGATTTTAAGGGCAGCCTGGTCTATACAGCAAGTTCTAGTCCAACCAGGGCTACAAAGTGAGATCATCTGTAAAAAAAGAGAAAGCGCCGGGCAGTGGTGGTACACGCCTTTAATCCCAACACCCAGGAGGCAGAGGTGGGTGGAGCTATGTGAGTTTGAGACCAGCCTGGTCTACAGAGTGAGTTCCAGGACAGCCTCCAAAGCTACACAGAGAAACCCTGTCTCAAAAAACCGAGAGAGAGAGAGAGAGAGAGAGAGAGAGAGAGAGAGAGAAACCATAAAATTGTGGGATTTTTTGCTGATATATGTACTTATCTAAATGGCTTTGATCATTTACATAGACTATAAATATTTTTACTTAGTTATGTGTTAGTTGATGTGAAAACCTTAATTTGTACTGAAGAAAATATAATTCTGGGCAATTTGAATATACTTTATCATTGCCAAACTATATTTTTATAAATACAACATATATATTATATATATTATATATATAAATTATATTAAATATTATAATATTTTAATATATGTTATATATTATACATATATATACATATATATATGTATATATATAAATACAACTATTCAGCTGTAGTTTACATTGTATACCAAAACCCTTCTTGTCTATCTAGGACATTCAGTGAAATAAGTAACACAGAAGAACAGTACAGCTTATGCCAGGAGCTATGCACTGAACTTGCTCATGATCTCCAGAAGGAAGGACTGAAGGTACTGGGTTTTATGGAATGATTTTAGTTTTTAGCTTCTTTCATTATAGGATACTACTCAAAGTCAAGAGACCACACATTTATTAAAGTGGAATACAAATAAAATAGAATATCTCTATCCCCAACAATCATAAACAAAGTTGAGTCTGACCTGTGAGTGAGGTCTGTGATGAGATTAAGGACACCTTGTGACACTGGAGTGGTTCCAGGGTGATAGGGCAGCTTTGTGCCCTTAACACTCCATCTGAGTTAGGTGCCAGATCAGACTTGAATGGCAAAGGTAAGGATTGTTCCACAGCTGTATCCTCCTATCATAAATCCTTCTCCAGCCATCCTGGGAGGCTTTGCTCACAGTGACAGTGACCTTTTAGAGCAGACATGGTGTTGCAGGGCTCTAATCCTGACTAACACCTTGAGAACAGAAGCCTGGAATGCCCTGATCTGTCGGTTGTCTAATCTTCCTTCAGAACACTCCACATTTCTTATTTTCTCAATCCTCTCAAACCAGGGTTAGTTATTAAAAAGTGTAACACAAAGTATTAAAAAGTTACTGCAAAAAATTCACATATTTGAGGAGCATTTTTACTTCTAGCTCTTCTCTAGCTTGAGTGCAAAATAGTTCTTTTTGAAAAGTTTTTTAAATCCACTTTTAATTTTAGAATCATTTCAGATTCTAGGACTGTTTCCAAAGAACATAGCGATTTCTATCATTACCTCTCACCCATTTTTTCTTAATTGGGGAAATTTTCCTCAATTGAGAGCTAAAAAATTTCTAGATTTTTGTCATACTAGAAATGTAACATGAGCACTTGCTGTTAACTAAGCTTCAGACTGTATCTGGATTGCTCTTGTCTTTCTACTAACTCCTCTCCAGGGAACCACATGTTGATTAGTGTCCTGTCTCCCCTCATTTGTCTGTGAGTTTGGTTATCTGTTCCCCCTTATGTATAAAATCCAGTCTTGAGAACCATGGGACACATCCTCTACATACTGGCACTGGCTTGCCTGTCCTGTGTTGTAGGTTATAGGTGTTTAGAAAGAATGCCACAAAGGTGAAGTAGCCTTCCCATCATTTCCTGTTGCAGCCATCACCTGGTTAAGGGAATGTTTGACAGGCTTCTCCAGCCTGAAGTTACTGGTTCTGAAATGAATCAGGAAATGAGTCACAAAGCCCAAACCCGCCTCACGTGGAACAGCTGCCAGTTACTGTAACCCCCCAGGAAATACTAAAATGTCATCAGTCCTCCCCCGTCTGGAACCTCATGGCCTCAAGACACTAGCTGTAAAGATGATTCGTACAGACTTCTAGCAGAGCATTCTGGCATGTGGTATCTGTGCAGTAAGTGTGAGCCATGCATTCCCCCTGGCTTCCAATACTGAATTAACCCTAGGGAGATGTACAGTAAATGTAAAAATGATTAGTTAGCTTTGCCCTTCATAGAAAAGTATTTTTAGTTGGTTGAGGAAGGGACTAGTAATTATTTTTCAGACATGGATCTTAATTATGACAATTTACATGATCAAGTTTTGTAACTTTTCTAACCTGTAATCAACTTTTTCTATAAGTTCCTAAACCTGCCATGGTAATGTGCTGCATGTGTTACAGGGGAGAACTGTTACTATTAAGCTGAAGAATGTGAATTTTGAAGTGAAAACTCGTGCGTCTACAGTCCCGTCCACTCTTTCTACTGCAGAAGAAATATTTGCCATTGCTAAGGAACTGCTGAAGACAGAAGTGAACGTGGCTTCTCCACACCCCCTGAGGTTAAGGTTGATGGGTAGGCCTCTTTCCTCTCTCTCTTTCTTGTTTTTCCCTTATATGTGTAATACCCCCCTCTCTAACAAAAAAAAAAAAAAAATCAGCTTGTGAGATTGTTTTCCCTCCATTTATTTCTTAAAACTGTTAAAAGAACTTCTTACTCTGCTGTTGTACACTATAATTCCTAGAACCAGATGCATAGTCAGAGTATGATTTTAATTCTGTCTGGACCGATGGGAGTTCTCATCCTTTTCTCTAAAGTCCTCAGGCAAAGCATTTCCAAATTCAAAATGTAGCAGACTTGGGAAACAAATCCAGGGCATTTTAATTATATTCTGTAATATTCTATTGGGGATCTAGGACACCATAACATGATGAGACACATGGCTGTTTTCTGTCACTAAACAACAACACACTTGTTCTTTAGATTGTGAGGACACTAGATAACATCCTGTCAGTTTAGTATTTGTTTATCACTTTGTGCTACGATTTTCAGAAATTTTGGATTTCAGAATTACAGATCAAGGTTATGACACTGTGAAACCACACTACCATTTACTACCTGTTGGAAACAAACTAGAAAGCCATGTTTCCAAGTGAACTATAAGATTGCTAAGAGTGGGCCATTAATCTTACTTTCACACTTGAGAGATGGCATACAATGAAACCACTGAATGAAGTATGTTAAAAAAGATCCAAATAGCCGGGCAGTGGTGGGTCACGCCTTTAGTCCCAGCACTTTGGAAGCAGAGGCAGGAGGAGATCTCTGAGTTTGAGGCCAGCCTGGTTTATAGAGTGAGTTCCAGGACAGCCATTGCTACACAAAAAGTCCTGTCTTGAAAAACAAAAACAAAAATAATAATAAAATAAAAAGTATCTATAGAAACTTTATTCATAATTGCAAAACTTAGAAGCAAGCAAGGTATCCTTAAAGTGGATTGATAAACTGTGTATGACCAGACAGTGGGATAATGTTCGGTGTAAATAGCTACAACAGGACAGAGAAGAAACATAAGTAAATATTGCTAAGTGAAAGAAGCCAATATTGTATGATTCTAGCTACATGGCATATTGAGAAAGGCAAAACTTTGGAGATAATAAAAAGACAGTATTGTCTGAGGAGAAAGGCGAATAGAGAAAGCACAGGCTTTTTAGGCCAGTGAAACAATGAAACAACTGCATATGATTCTATAATGGTGAATTCATGTCTTTATAAGTACATCTAAACTCATAGCATGAGCACAACCACGAGTAAATTCTAAGGTAAACTATAGACTCTGGATGATAGTGCTGTGTCAGTGCATGTGTGTATAGTACTGGAAGTTGTGTGTGAATGACAGCAGAGGGCATATGAGAGTTCTCTCTTCAATATTGTAAAAATGAAACAAGTGAACTCTTTAACAAGTGAAGTCTATTGAAAGAAATCAGAGCTGAAGAGTCTCTGTAGTTGACTCCAATTAGTTATTTTCTATTTAATGGCATCCAATGTGAAACATTATTGAAAGTTCTATATAATCAAACCAACTCCAATAGTTTTGTTTTTTTGTTTTTTGTTTGTTTGTTTGTTTTTGTGTGTAGGGTTTTTTTGTGTAGCCCTGGCTATCCTGGTACTAGCTCTGTAGACCAGGCTGGCCTTAAACTCACAGAGTTGCCTCCTGAGTGCTGGAATTAAAGGTGTGCACCACGACCACCCAGCCTCCAATAGATTCTTAACATTTACTGATACCAAGTTTTATAAAGCAAAGTGAGTTCTTCATATCAGTTATGAAAAAGTATCTTTTAATTTAGAAAATATTGGTCTGGGAATGTGACTAAGTGGTAAATTATATGCCTAACATGCCAAAGACTTATGTATGGGTCCAAACCTTAGCGTTTAAAAAAAAAAATATGTATGTGTATGTGTCTGTACATCTCTAGAGGTGCTTATTTCTCTCTAGTTACTTTTTGCATATGTGTCATAACAGTACTATGTGAAATATTTTGTTTCATTCATATTGGGAGTGAATGTCTTTATACAGTTTTGATTTTGTTTAGGTGTTCGGATGTCTACTTTTTCCAACAAAGATGCCAAGAAGCACCAACAAATGGGCATCATTGGCTTCTTACAAACTGAACAGCATGCTTTGTCATCTCCTGGGTGTACTGCAGAAAGAACCGACAAAACTGAGTTTGTAAAGCCTTTAGAAATATCTCATAAGAAGAGTTTCTTTGATAAAAAGCGATCAGAAAGGATCTCAAACCATCAAGACACACCCAGATGTGAAGTTGTGGATCAGCAAGCTTTACAGGCCTCACAGCCATTCCAAGCTTTAAAGAAGATGAGTGAGAGTTTGGAAACATTAGAGAATTCACGTAACTGTCAGACATTCACGTGTCCAGTTTGCTTTAGGGATCAGGAAGGTGTCAGTCTGGAAGCCTTTAACGAACATGTAGATGCATGTCTTGATGGACCATCCACCAGTGAGAAATCGAAAATGCCTCCTTCCTCATATGCTTCCTCAGCAGTTGCTGGCCAGAAGGAAGATGTGCACCATTCTATCCCACTATGTGAGCAACGGGATTGTGAAGATGGAGAGGTCACGTCAGCAGATGGTGTAGATCTGGAGGAGACTGAAGACAACTCATTGAAAGCAGCAAGTATGGACACTTCAGGAGCTAATCACAGCAAAGAGGAACATTCTGATACTCCAAACCAGTCTTGTCCTATTTCACTGGCAAATGAAGCTGAAGCTGTCAGAATATTAAGTGAGCAAGAATCCATCCGGCCCTGTACAGATGAGATAGTAACAGGACAAGCTCTAGTTTGTCCTGTTTGTAACCTAGAACAGAAGACTTCTGACCTTACCCTCTTCAATGTGCATGTGGATATTTGCTTAAATAAAGGCATTATCCAAGAACTGAGGAATAATGAAGTTAATTCAGTTGGCCAACACAAAGAAAGCTCCAGAAATACTGGTGAGCTTGCAGTTATTAAGTGGGGGAGGAGGGGGTGCAGTAGTTCTTGCTGGTCTTGCATAGGACCTGGGGTTGGTCCCCAGAACCCACATGGTGCCTACACCATCTGTAACTCCTCCCTCAACAGGCACCAGGCACACACAGTACACAGACATACATGTAGGCAAAACACCAATGCACTTAAAATTAAAAAAGAGCAATGTGATTTTCTAGAGATGTCTTATTAAAATCCCTGAAACTTAAGTTTGAAATACTTACTATTAAAAAGGTGTCTTGGGTTTGCTCTCATTGAGGAAAATATTAGTTCTGCCTTCCCATGGCTAGAAATAGCTCAAACTGAGCTTTTGAATTTAGGGGAAACCCCAGTTTAGTTTTGATTCAGTGTAGAATGAAGTTAAAAGTTGAAGGATCAGAGTGATCTACACAAAAGAAATTCCCTTGGGAAACATCTGCTAGTGCACAGTGACAAATTGGCTGTGTTTACAGAGACAGGAAGCCTTTCACTTGTTTCTCTGTAGTGCTGACTGTAGCAAGATTGCAGAAATTAAGTTTAATGCCAGTAGAACTAGTAAATTCTAAGGGATCGACAATATGAGATTAACCTTGTGAGGCTGGCAGTTGTGCCTCGAGGGTGTAGGTGCCTTTCAACCTGATTTTCATCTCTGGACCACATGATGGAAGGAAAGAACTGACTTCCAAAAGTCGTCCATTGACCTCCATACATGTGCACATGTACATGGAAGCACTAATTTAATTAATGTAATACAATATTCTTAAAAATTGTTTGGGATATGCATACTATTTAATCTGTCAGTTTTGTCTCTTTAATTTTTGTGATGCTTTTCAATGATTTTACCTTTTCCTCATGGAATTTCTTGGCTTTCTTTACCTTACAGGCAGACTTCAGAAGGCTGCAGGAAGGACAAAAAGGTATGCCTATCTTGAACTTGAGTAAAGAGAGCCACAAACTCATGTTTAATCTGAGTTTAAGGGGCTAAACTTTGCTTTAATAACTTTAATCAAGTAACATTTTAAGAACTGTTTTTGCAAAATTATTTTCAAGTATTTCCTTCTACATAGAAGTTATGTATTCTTTCTCATTCCAGGCGGAGACAGAGGACAAAGTGGTCTACATCAAAGAAAACAAAACCCCGAAGTCCCAGACACACCCTTGATATGTTTTTTAAATGAACTTTGAACATTTTATCAACATTCTTATTGAAATTCTTAGTTTTATAACCAGTGTATTTAGCCTTCCTCATTTTTAAGATTCATCTAGGGAAGACAAGTGCAATATTACCTCCTCATATGACCTTTTTAAGGAATGTAGACTGCATATTAACTTATTTCTTTATATTTCCCTTAATAACCATAAGATTTCATTTCCAGTGTACATCAGTTGGAAATCAGTCATGTTAAAGACAGCTTTAAAATGAAAGTAAAAGGGGAGGTCAGAAGATGATGTATTATTTTATAATGAGCATAAAATACTTACGGAGTCTGAGTTGTGTGCACTAGTTGCAGCATGAGCATCTCAGTGCTTAGCCGCCGTGGTGCCATTGGATGCTGCTGTACTTGCTCTTGTGTCTAATTTAAGTGTTCTGTGAGCATTTGTAGTTAGATTTAACCATGAGGTCTATGAAGAACATTGGTTTAACAGAAATAGCAACGGGTACACGTGTTACCTTCATGAAAGCAATGCACAGTATTATCTGTGTTTGAAGGACTTGTTCAAACTATTGTTAGTTGTTTTTCCTTACAATTCTTTTACCTTACAAATAAGCACTTGGTTCACATAAAGAAATCTTTAGTACACAATTCAAAATAGTTTGTTTTTTAACTCAGTAACTTTAAATAGCAGTATTTCTTTTCTTGGTAAATGTATTTAACTTTCTACAAATCTGTAGTAGACAAGATAAGTTGTGTTGTCACTTGATTTTCATTCTACTCTTTAAGAGAAAATGTGCAACTCAGAAGATGCATGCCTTAGAAAGCATAGCACTGACCTCAGTGACATGCCTGTCACACCTTTGTTAACATTTGTGAAAGAAGAAAGATTTGCAGCAGTTAAGGAGTTGCTCCAAACATGGTGCCACCCACAAGTTCTTATCAAAAATCCCCTTTTGCTACTGCTTTAAGAACTAAATCTTGCCAGGAGGTGGTGGTACCTTTAATCCCAGCACTTGAAAATCAGAGGCAGGCTCTGAGTTGGAAGCCAGCCTGGTCTACAGAGTGAATTCCAGGACAGTCTGGTCTACACAGAAACTGTGTGTCATAAAAGCAAAAAAAGGGAAAAAGAGAACTGAATCTTTTTTCTTATAGTTTGATCTTTGAATATCTTAGTGCATTTAGAGTAGACAAATATTTGAGGGATACCTTCCTTAGGGCAAAGCCTTTGCCACAGTTGTAACCTGACTTTTAATTACCAGCCTGTTCATAGATGAGCTGAAAGCTTACTGACGTGCCAGTCCCTTACCTGATTGTCCTCACCATGACAGTTCCAAAGCTGTGGTGTTTTGGTTATTGATTGTGATTTACTTATGTAAATTATTTATAAAATTCAGTGAAACTGATTTAATGTATTAAAAAGTAGATATTATTGTATTTATTGTTTTCTCCCATCTGAAATTTATTTTTATTGTTTTCCACATTAAATAATAAATTATTTTCAATTAAGTTTGTCATTTAATTGAATACCATCATATATATTTAATAACTTAAATAAAATTTTAAAACTTTTTTTTTAGAATTTCTTACATGTGTAATGTGTTTACATCATTTTCTTCTCTTACTCTTTCTCTTCCAACTTCTCCTGTGTCCCTCCCTCTCAGTCCCTCTCAAATTCATGACCTCTTTTTAAATTATTATTTTTTACAAATTTTATTTAAATTAGAAACAATCTTATTTTACATATCAATCCTGGTTCCCTCTACCATCCTCCCATGCCCCTCCACTGACCCCCACATCCACTCCCCAGGGAGGGTGAGGCCTTTCATGGGGATCATAAAAGTCTGTCAAGTCATTTGGGGCAGGGCCTAGGCCCTCCTGCATGTGTCTAGGCTAAGAGAGTATCCCTCCATGGGGAATAGACTCCCAAAGTCTGTGTGTACACTAGGGATAAATACTGGTTCCACTGCTAATACCTTCCAGGATCATTTCTATAGTTCATTAAATTTGATTTTTAGTCAGTTAAGCAGATGAAGTGAGTAAAAAGAAGGAACAAGTAAAAATGAAACTTCATATGGTCAGTGTGTTTACCTACTTTATTTTTTTAAGAGAAAGCTTATTTTTAGCTTGCTTGCCTACCTTTTAAATAAATCTACATTTTTTTCAGAGTTCAATAAAGTTCTGACTGTAAAATCAATACTATTCCTATAAATCAGTGATAACCAATTAGAAAATAGAACAAAACTAATCTTGTTTATCACAGGGATCTGTGAGGTACCTCAAAAGGAAAAATGTTCAAGGATTTGGAAACAAGATGAACAGTACAAGCAAATAAATGAAATAATCTTATTCATGGACAGGAAGAATGACTATATAAAGCTAACCCCCGCCCCCGCCCCCACCAGTTATACTGTTAAGTACAATAATATTCAAAACCTCTTAGAAATTGGTACACAGAACCAGGCATGGTGGCACACACTTTTAATACCAGCATTAAGGAGGCAGAGGCAAGAAGATCTCAAGTTCAAGACCAACCTGGTTTGCAATTCTGAGACCCTGTCTCAAGAAGAAAGAGATAAGTAGATACTAAATTTTATGTAGCAATTAATAAAGTATTAACAGTAGCATTGGTAATGGAAAGGGTGTTTTAAATATCCTAGTATGAAAAGTATTGGCTGTTTAATAAATGGTCCTTTTATGGTTAATAACTTATAGAGAAAAATTAAATTTGATTGAAACCTCGCTGTGCTGGGAGCCCCTAGGTGCCCCTCAAGTCTGATTATTTGCTAGAAGGACTAACACAACTGAGAAAACTGAAGAGTTCTAGATTACAGTTTATAAGAGTAAAAAGTTAAAAACCAAAGCAAAGAAGCTAGATGTGACTCGGAAGTAGGATGCTTCTCTGTATATGCACAACCTTTGGTTTGATAGACAGCATGGTGTGGGGGTGGGATCAGTAAAGCCTCATGCTCCCAGGGGAGGCATATGAAGTATACACAATTCTCCCACGAGTACTGGATGCCAGCACATGCAAAATATTGCCGACCAAGACCCGGTGCCCAACCCTTGCCACCCAGATTTTTTCCTGCAAGTCTGTGACAGGCATTCCTGTCATTCCAAGTGACCTTAGCTTTAAACCGTCCAAAGCTTACTTGTCCCAAAGTCTCAGTCTCCAGAACGCATGCATCCAGCAGAAGCTAGTTGGCAACATGAGCTGTTTCTTTAAACGAATACAGTGTGACTCAAAGGCATGGATATGAAACATTCTTATCAGGCGGCTAAAGGCCAAGGGCTCCGAGGCCGGTTCTGAAGAGAGACGTCTTTCTTTGCAAAATCTAGGAGTTGAGCAACCTGAACCTGCCAAGTTAACCCTTACAGTTGGCTTGCGAAATAAATGTCAATCAGAACTGTATTTGAATAAAGAATAAAAAGACAAGGGTTTTAGGGTGACTTTTTCTGCCTTTTATTTTTAATACAGAAAATAGTCTTAAATTCTTAACATGTTGAGGGAGTCTCAGATAAAGAGTCTGGCCTGTCCATTTGTGGCATATTATTATTAGTATGCACTGCAAGTAGCATAAACAGGCCTAGTGATTGCATACCAGTACAACTGTCTCTGATACAGAATGATCTTTTTGTATACTGTGAAGATGTATCTTTACCAAGGTGCCTCTGGTTGGTTGACAGGCCATTCTAGGCAGGAGAGGTATAGGTGGGACAGCAAGACACAGAGAATGCTGGGGAGAAGAAGGGTGGAGTCTCGAGAGACACAGAGAGAAACAAGATAAACATGCCATGTTGAAAGAAGGTACTGCCACGTGGCAGAGGTTAGATAAGAAATATGGGTTTATTTGAAATATAAGAGTTAGCTAGTAACCATTTATTATTAATAAGTCTCTCAATGGTTATTTGGGAGCCACTGTGGAGACACAGAGAAACTCTGCCTACATGTCTCTTCAATGAAAGACAAAGTTGTCTCTCTTACTATGTCCTATTGTTTGGATACATTATGGATAGACATTTTACTTCAGTCCTCTGTGACAATAGAAAAGCAGCATTATGGGAAGTTAATTGTAAATACAGACCATTCTCTCAGAAATGCTTTGTTTTCAATGTTAGCACTGAATTGTGCAGTACAAGAGCTTACTCAAGAGACAGAAGTTTCCACACTGACATGGTAGGAGTCCTGTTGCTGGGTTAAAGAAGGAACTTCATGCTAAGAGAATGTAGGTAATACCCAATAAAAGAACATAGGAAATAAAAGGCAAGAGAAAGATAGCAATTGATGCCTAATGTTTTCATTTTAAATGTTATTCATCATGGGTTATGTGTGAGCTCAACCCCTTTATTTCTGCCTCTACTTCTGTCAATTCCAAATATGTCAACAAATTCCATTGACCTGTTAGAGCCTTTTTTAATTTAAATTATTTACCACTCATATTTACATATCCATTCCCCCCTATTCCCTCACAACTCCCATCCTCCCATGTTCCCCACCAATCCTCCCCCCAATCCATCCCCCAACTCTGCCCCAGGGACAGTGAGGCCCTCCACCAGGGTCCTTCAAAGTCTGTCATATTTGGAGGAGGGCCCAGGCCCTCCTTGTTGTATCTGGGCTGCAACAGTATCGTTAGAGCCTTTTGTAAAGATCCATTTCTTTACTTCTATGAAGCTTTACTAGTTGCCTACATGTTGACATTCCAACTGCTTCCTCAACTTCCCCTGTCAACCTGAATGCCCTTTCAAAGCAGTGTTTTCAGAATATCATGTTAAGTTACTTTTTTTCAAAAGCTGTTAACTCTCCAAGTTTGAGAGGAATGGTAAAGGAGGGGTTAGTGACTTTCTGTGTATGAAACCTATGGTGCAAGTATTCTTACCTTGGCACAAACTATATAATGTTAACCAGTCAAACTTCCTGGAAATGTCATAGCTCTTGATAACAAATAATAGGCACCTGCCTTGTAGCAATGTCGAACATGCATTCCTAAAACTGGCTTACAATCTGGTAAATAGAGAGTCACACAGAAAACCACAGCAAATAATACGTCAGGGTCTTCATGAAGAAAGAGGAAAACAAAACAGTGGCTAGTCCCAGAAGGAAGGGCATCCTTTCCTGAAGGGGCCTTTGGGCCTATAGAAAAAAGTGTTTCCACATGGTGGGGGAGGGTCAGTGGGCCTTAGGAAGCACATGCTGGACACACAGCAACAGAGCACAAACCAGAAGAATAACTCTTCATCTCTTAGGTAGCTGCTAATCTGTCACTATTGATTGTAGGCTGGTAGAAATGTGGGGGTTTATCTCGTTTATCTCTGAATCCCAAGTGTGATGGCCTGGCTGGCACAGTGTCCATGATCATCTGTAACTGAGCAAACACACAGCATCTCAAGAGGAAGCAACTTGAGTCCAGCAGAGCATCACACATTCTTAGTCTTGCAACACACATCCTTGCAGCAAGGTATAAATGTATGACTGAAGGTTAGCCAGTGGGCTGTGTATGAAAGCGTTGTGCAGTATGCTAGAACCTTCCTCTTTTGGAAGCTTTAGCATCCTCTTTGGCTTCCTGTTTCTCCCCTCTGCCCCACTTCCTGGAAGCATACATAACTACCTTGCACGTGAGTTGGGGGTACCCCTGGGAACAGCAGAGTAACAAGCTGGAGGGGCTGACTCCGGAGAACTTTGTAGAACAGAGTTATCATGGCAGCCCTGTCCTACATGCTTCCAAACTTTCTGAAGACATTTTTGTTCACAGGACTGGAGAATCAGCTTCAGGTGACAGTTTCCACTCAGTGAGGGAAGGACTCTTGAGAGGTAAATGCGTGAAGTGGGACTCTAGGGGAGACAGCTTCTGACCAGAGAATAAAGGGATCAATAAATAATGCTGCTGCTGCTCTCTCCTCCTCCTCCCCCCTCCTCCTCCTCCTCCTTTTCTTCTTCTTGATAAAGAATCCTTGAAAACCTGGACTCAAAGTTTACTGTATTTGAACATACCAGATCTTTTGAGATTGAAACGCAATGTTAGCTTCAAAGTGCACCTTTAAGAATCATGCAGTTGCAGTCAGGGCTGAGAAGATGTGTTAGCAGTTAAAGTGTTTGCAAGGAAAGTATGAGGCGGAGTTTGGGCCTCAGAATGCATGTCAAAGTCAGGTAGGTCTGGTAGCCTGCCTATAATTCCAGCCTGAAAAGTGGGACACAGGAGCGAGCTCCCCTGAGCAAACTGACTAGCAAGTCTAGCCATATCCTGGGAGCCCGGGATCTGACAGAATTTTCTCAATGAGTAAGGTGGGAAAGCAATCCAGGAAATTTCCCGACATCTACTTCTGCCTCCACAAGCACATAACATGTGAAAAACTTGCATAAGCACATGAATACACACCACACATTTGAAATGGAAAAAAAAAGAAACAAATAAAAATTGTTCTAAATTTCAAAACATCTTAAGCATGTTTGTGGTTTGGGGCTAGGGCACATTCATTCATAGCTGTTCTTCATTGGTCTGCCTGGTCAGCCTTCTATTAGAGAAATGCAAGATTTCAGGACTGAACACTGGCAACTGTTCCCTAACTGAGCTATGTTCCATGTTTATTTGACAAATTGGCCTCAAGCCTGGTACTACTGTAAGGCATTGGAGATACAGCAGGGGGGAAGCCTGAGGAACCTGTCTTTGTGATGTTTAATGTTAGATACATACTAAATAAACAAAATCTGTTACATTCTACAACTACCATAGAGGAAAGAGCAGCAAACAGAAATGAGAAAATCCAGAGGAGGTGTTCATAATATTTCAGAATAGAGTGATCAGAGTAGATTCCTTGAGGAAGTGACAGTCCAAGATCTACTTACATGAAAGATAAAATCACTGAAAAAAAAAAAAGCATTGAAAAATGGGGATGGGAAAAGAGGGTTCTGGGGAGAGAATTGGAAACTGAATGTCCTGCAGCAGGAGATACCAAAGGAGCAACAGGAACAGGGAAGAGGCCCCTGGCAAGGCAGCCCATGCTTCAGCACACCGAGATAATTCATTTGCTAGCTGAAAAAGAAAACATCACATTATACCTCATAGCTTCCCTATTGTCCAAGCTCTTGGAAGAATCAAGAAGTAAAGTTGCCGCCATGTACTGATGGAGGACTAGCCTCACTACATTTTTACAAGGGTGTAGAGCATAAAATCACCGTGTTGTTTGTTTTTCAAGACAGGGTTTCTCTGTGTAGTCCTGGCTGTCGTGGAACTAGCTCTGTAGACCAGGCTGGCCTTGAACTCACAGAGATCCACCTGCTTCTGCCTCCCTAGTGCTGGGATTAAAGGCTGCCCATCAGCTTTTTTTTTTTCCTTGTTGAAAGCATTAACAGAAAGAGAGCCTGGTTGTGAGCCACCCAGAGCTGGTGCTAGAACCCAAACTCTAGTCCTCTGAAGAGCAGTAAGTGCTCTTAGCCACCAAATCATCTTCCATCCCTAATATTATGTAATTTATATTAAAACAAAATGTCTCATAAGTTCATAATAGAAAACGGAAGTTATCTTACCTCTTTTATTTGGTTTATTTGGTGAGTCAGGATTTGTTGGTCCTGTTTCTGTGTTATTTCAGTTTTTAACAGAGTCAGCCAGGAAAGTGGATAATTTCATGATTATCAAATGAGAAATTGAGTCATTTTTTTTCTTCAGAAGGAAATTCTGGAAGCCCAGTTAGAAAGTATTTAATATTGAATTTCCAGTAGTGAGTATTGACTATAAATCAAATGCAGGCATTTTTAAATCACACGAAGACTCAATGAAGCATGAACTAGGAATTTCTGGGGGTTGTAGATTTCTAGAAATGTTTCCTTTTGTATGGAGCCAAACCCTAGTGCCTGGCATGCCACGCCTAAAGGCGGACTCTGCAGACCAGTCCAAGCCAGGGCAGTGCTGGGGAACCAAGGCCTGTGCCTAGCCACGTACCCCAAGGGAGCAGGCTCGACCCTGTGCTCCTGCAGGGTGCATTTGCAGTCCAGCCCTGCACCCTAGTGGGGTCTTCATAACTCTGGTGGGCATGAACCCCAACAGCAGCCAGGGCCATGGGGCAAGGGCTCTGATGTTCCAGGCAGCTAGGGGGCTGAGGGCTGACCTGCGGGGCGCGTCCACTGGGCCCTGGAGGAGCCTGGCCAGGATGTCAAAGCCTGAGAGGACGGACCTGAAGGCTGCAGTTGCAGGACATGAGTGCTGTGAGTCCTGAGCCAGGTATCCCGGTGGGCAGAGGGTGGGCTCAGGCCGAGAACTAGAGGAGTACTCTCACGGCAGCCTGGAAGGAAACAAAAGCCAACAGTCTGCCCTGGGGACTCTCAGGATGTCCTCCTACACTGCCTTCCCCATCCCACCTTCCCCCCTCCCCGGGTGGGGGCTGGTTTTCAGCTTTGAAATTCTCTCCACCAAGTGTTGATTTAGACCTGCTCCCTGTACTGCGAATGGGGGAACGCTTTTCCAAGCTAAGGAGGAGACTGTTTAAGAAATGAGTAAGCCCTTTTGCAAATAGAATTCCTTGTGCTATTGTGTTAAATCATGATTTACGTGCAGATTTACTGTGTGACTTTAAGTCGCATAACGTTATTGTTAGGTTTCTAAAGCAGGGGGAATAGATAAGCAATGCCTTGGGAATGATAACATAAACTGAGGTCGCACTGAGGAGGTCTTAGGAGTTGAAAACTAAGGACTCAAGTCTCTTAACAGCACACCATGGACTCAAGAGGATGTGCTCTTTCCTGAAGTGCAGCCTTGGCAACTGTACATTTCCTTAATATAATATACAGCTAGTTGGTTAGCTAATTCCAGAAATATTTTCCAGGACTTAATATTTGTTAAACATGACTCAAACTGGGGATGCCCAGGCCAAGGGAGCTTAGTCTGCTGTGGTGGAGGCTGACAGGTCACAAGGAAGCAAGCAGGTGTGACAATTTAAAGGAAAGTTCTGAGAACGCTATGGAGGCCATGAAACAATGTGACATGGGTGGGACCAGGAGGACTTTAGGTCAGATACCCAAATGAGAGGAAACAACCAGCCACGGAAAGTTCAGGCAGAAAGCAAGGAAAGCAAGAGTGAAGCAGATTCAGACATGGAATCGCTGTTTAAAGTGAGGAAGACTCCCGGCCTGTGTGGAGCATGGTGAATGAGGCTGAGAGCCACTGGGACTGGAGAGGGTTAGACTATGGATGGTGAACAGGGCTCCTCAGGGTTGAGAGCTCTGTATTAGTTAAAACTAGTGGGGCTTTCAGTAGGCGGGGCTTGGTGGAGGGAGGTTTTCACGTGACAGAGGGCAGCCCCACAGAGAAACCAGGACAGATACTATCCTTGTTTTACTGTTTTCTTCACTGAGATCTGTTGTGCAGCCAAAGTCCAAAGTAACTCCAAGTGGCCATGGAATGACACCTCTGAAACTCTGAGCCAAAATGAACCTTTTCTCCTTCCATGTCGACTGTCTCAGGCATTTTGCTAACACAAGACAGAAGGTAGAAGGAGTTCATTCACTTAAGAAAGAAACTTTGTTATTGTGTTTTTCCTCAATTTTAGATATTCAAATAGGCGTACACTGGTATCTCATTGGTGGTCTTAATTTGTGTGTCCCTCAATATAGTGGTGGCTTATTTCATCATTTTGTCTTCTCTGCTCTTTTGAAGTCTTTTCTCTGTATTTAAATTGAGTCATTGAACATTGAGAGATAAATATTCTGGATGTATTTTAATTGTCAGAAATATTATTTGCAAATATAATAACCTGAGCTGCCGTGTGTCTTATTCTTTAATGGTACTTTACATAAGAGTGAATTTACATTTTTGAGGAAGTACAGTTTATCAGTTTTTTTTTCATTCATGGTTATACTGCCATTGTTACATGTAGGAAATCTTGCTGAACCACAGACTATGAAATTTTTTTCATGCATTTTCTTCTAAAAGTTTATAGTTTTGTATTTTTCATTTCCACATACAACCCATTTGGAGTTCATTTCTGTATAACATAAAGTTTAAATCAAGACTCAATATGGTGTCCAAATATCTAAATGTCATTTGTTGAAATGATTATTCACTCTCTATTGTCAAAATTTGAAAACTTTTGTCAAAAACTAACTGATCATATTTGTGTGTTTATTTTTTGAGCTCCTTTTTTATTTTATTTTAGAGGCACTCATATTTACATATTCATCAACACATCCCCCAACTCCTCCCCAGGGATAGTGAGGCCCTCCACAGGGAGCCTTCAACACATGTCATTTCATTTGGGGGAGGGCCCAGGCCCTCCTTGCTGTATCTGGGCTGCAATAGTATCCCTCCATAGGGAAGGGACTCCCAAAGTCTATTTGTGCTCTAGGGATAAAGACTGGCTCCACTGTTAGAGGTCCCATAGACTGCCTTGACCTCCTAACTGACACTCACATTCAGAGGGCTCAGTTTGGTCCAACTCTGTTTCCCCAGCTTTATGACTAGGGTCTCAATGCTCTCAGTAGGTCAGGTCCCCTGTTTCTGCGGGTTTCTCCAGCACAATCTTGGCTCCTTTGCTCATCCCTCCTCCCTCTCCACAACTGGATGCCAGGAGTATGGCTCAGTGTTTAGCTGTGGGTCTCTTTCTGTTTGGAACAGCTACTGGATGAAGGCTCTAGGAATGGTAACCAAGGTAGACACCAATCTCATTATAGGGGAAGTTGTGGTAGCCCATGCTGGTAGGATTTGCTGAAGGAGGCAGAGGCAGAAGGATCACTTCGAGGCCAGCCTGGGCTACACATTTTTATGGAAAGGATGCCATTGTGTGTTTATTTTTAAACTGTATATTTAATTACACTGTATCCTTTGCTTGGTCAAATACCCCATATTACCCGATTCTTGCACATTACTGTACAACTGTTGTACAGCAAAATTAAGTAATGTGACTCTTCCAATATTATTTTTCTTATTCAAAACTGATTTGGTCTTTCAAAATTGTCCTTTGCCTTTCTAGGTAAGTTTTATAATGAACCTGTCAATTGCTACAATATGTTTGTGTAATGTTTTATTGAAATTCCATTAAATCAATAGACAAATGTTGGGACATTAACACCTTATGATAGTCAATCTTCCAACCAAGGGCCTTGATATATCTTCCCATTATTTAGTCTTTGAGCTCTTTTGCCCACAGTCTTTTTTTAAGATTTAATTTATTATTTTGTGCATAAATGTTTTGCCTGCATGTATGTATTGTGCCATGTATGTGCCTTAGCCCTTGAAGGTCAGAAGAGAGCTTTGGATCCTCTGGTTCTGGAGTTACAGGCAGTTACAAGCTGCCATGTAGGTGCTGGGAACTTAACCTTGGTCCTCTGCAAAAACAACAAGTGTTCTTAACCACTGAGCCAACTAGCCAGCCCCAATATTTCTTTGGTACAGAAAAACTGTATATGTTTTGTTGCCTTCATATGTAAATATTTTGGTTTTTGATCAATTGTAAATAGTGCTTTGTAAATTTCAGTTTTCATATGTTCATTGTCAACATGTAAAAATATGATTGATAGTTACATGTTAAACTTGTATCCAGCAAACTTGCTAAACACACTTGCTGTTTCTAGAGCTGCTTTGTATGTTCCCTGGGATTTTATACATAAATAACAAAGTTGTCTGAAGCCAAACTGGACAATTTTTCCTTCTGTTTGTCTTTTCACTTACTGTACCAATCTATTGTTCTAGCTATAATTTTCAGCACAATATGTAAACAGAGAGGTAAGAGTAGAAATCTCTTTTTATTCTTGGTCTTAGGAACAAAAGAAGCTCAGATGTTATGCTGTTAGTTGATGTCAGTATGATGTTAGTTGTCAGTTTCTTTTGTAGGTGCCATTCAAAATGATTCAATTCTCCCCTATTTCCAGTTACCCAAGAGAGGTGGCTTTTTTTCTTTTTTGAGAAGCGGAAAGAAGGTTTTTTTGTTCTTTGATTTTATTTCTTTTATAAATGTATTTGTGTGTGGTGTGTGTGTCTGTGTGCACACGCATGCATGCGTGCACACACCTAGTGCCTGTGAAGGTCAGAAGAGGATGTCCAATCTCCTAGAAATGGAGTTGCCGATGGTTGTGATCCATCATGTTAATGCTGGGAACCAAACCCAGGCCCTCAGCAGTCAGTACTCTTAACTGCTGAGCCATCTCTCCAGCCCTGCTCTTTTCCTTTTCATTCAGTTCAAAATATTTTGTCACACATCTGCTTTTAATTCTTAGCGTCAATTTTTATTTTATCCCCATGATTGAGACTGTCTCTTGAGAACTCTACTCTCTTGAATCTTCTTGATACTAGTTAATAAAGTCTGTCACATGTATGTATGAGAGAATGTATGAGAGTATGGTGGGGGGGTGTCATGGTCACAGTAGGTGTGAATCCAATTTTATGTACTTTTTTATAAATGAGAATAAAACATATTCGTTCTTCTTGGCCTTTGTCTGGGTTTCCACATCGGGCTCACTTTAAGGTTTTGTTCCCACAGGTTTGGCACTGAATCTGAATTCTGCAGATAGAAGTTTTATCTTTGTAAGATGTAGGTTTCCCACAGTCTCATCCCCTAACTGCTCAAAAACAAGGTCCCCTGGGAGGTCAGTCTTCGGTGGCCCTCTGACCTGCTAAGCTGCTAGCAGGTAGTGGAGCTTCGGGGTGGCCTTCTTGAGCAACACTGTCTGAGGTCAGGGACATTTTGAGGGTAAGGAAACACTTGCAATGTGAGGAGAAGGTGGAATCATGGTGTTCTGACCTTGTAAAATATTTAAGCAAATATGCTGTGTCCTCAACAACAGAGCGGGGAAGTCTCAAGGTTACCATTCCAGCTTTTCAGTCTATGAGGCTGTCACATGAAACGTGACAGAGAACTGTGGCTCCTCTACTCCTCTGGGTCATGCTCTCTCTTTCTTCCAGTGCTGCCAATTGAGAGAAGCTTTCAGAATGCTGCTAAAAGCAATGATTTGGCTCTTATGGAGAAGCTGTTTGAAAAGAAGGTTAACATTAATGCTGTGAACAATGTAAGTAGAAGTCACAAACATGACAAGTGGCTGTTCCATGTGATGGCTTGGAGTGCATAGGTCAGCTGAAATAATAGCAATAATTGAAGAGACTGGACTAACTGAGATGCAGAGGCTTTAATGTGGGTGTTAAAGCTAAAGATGGAATTACATAGCAGAGCACGCCCAGGGTAGTTTTTACTTAGGGGAGGGAAGTGTGCAGGGTCTTATGCACATCTGTGCAAAGTCTGGGGGTAGACAAGTAAGTCCAGCATTGGGACTGTGGGTCTGGACTTGGTCCTAGATTGTATCCTGTGTATCAGTTCAGTCTTGCCCATTCTGGAAAGTAAGGGCATGATTTGCTATAACATCTGGGCTCCTTTTCTCTCACGATAGCTTCTACGGTCAGCATAGATTTATAATCCAGAGTTACAATCCAAAGAAGAATCGTTAATTTTCATTTTTCTGCTTTTGAAATAGAAAGCAGCCACGTGTTGGACAATGACTTCTGGCTTTTGTTCAAGTACCTAGGCTTTGGGGGAGAAGTCCACTGCCAGAAACATGGCTTTCCTATTGCTTGGCTCAGTGGAGAGTTCCTTCAAGGCAGGGTTTATTAGCATGAACAAGCTGGTAGGTGAGACTTTCTTAGAGTGAACTGTAGAGTGCTTTGAAGTCAGAATGCAGACATGAATGCTAAATTCTAAATAAAGACTAAGCCTCAGGGGCCCTGTTTGCTCGGGCCCCTTCCAGGGCACTGAGAGAGCTCTGGTAATGTTGCCCACAATTATATATCTTCCTAAGACCTAAAATGAAGACCCTGTAGCTGCAATAAATTTTGCATCTCTGATTTTGGTTTTGAAGAGAGCTCCCTATGTCTGGGAAAATAGCTCTGTCATTAAAGTGTTGGTCACACAGCATGAAGACCCAAGTTCCAATCCTAGCACCCCAAGAACACGCCAGGCATGGTGGCACATGCTTGTAATCCCAGTGCTGAGGAAGTGGAGACTGAAGCTCCTTGGGTGGTCACTGTAGCAATTGGCAAGCCTCAGGTCTCACTGAGATCCCAAAAAATCAAAGTGGATGGCTCCTGAGAAACAATATCTGGATTGAATTCTAGCCTCCACACGTGCTCTCACACCTATAGCCCTACCCCACCCACAAAAGGGCTCCCTAAATAGTCTAAACTCAGGCTTAACAAAATATGAAGGTATTCCAGGCAGGAAGGTAATAGGAACAAAACTGCACAGTCTATGTCATGCAGAACATGCAGCAGAATGATCTTTAGCAGTTGCATACGTGTGCATGAGTGCATGTGATGGGGTATGTGCTCATGCAAGTGTATATGGAAATTTATATACCCGTCCACATAACTTTTATTTATGGACATTGTGCATTTTGATGTATTATGGATATATGTATAGATATATGTAATTCATACATATTGCATACATGTATACACATATTTCTCTCTCCCCCTCCCCCTCTCCCTCTCCCTCCCTCTCGTTCTCTTTCTTTCCTTCATTCTACAGAAGAAAGTGCACCGGATCTTTAGCACATCCCAAAGCTTGTGGGTGGGCTACAAAGCCCATCATCACAGTTATGGGTCTGGACTTGGCCCTAGATTGTAGCCTGGGGACCAAGCCTAGGGCCTCACACATACTAGGCAAATGCCCTACCACTGAGCTACCATCTTTTTATAATATTCTTTCTAATAACAGCTATTTAATCTTGTTTATAGCAACTTGTTGTCATGGTTAGTTGCAGGGCTCTTTAAAATCTGTGATGATGCATATTTTAAGTGTAAGTGCTATTATTGCATTCTTGAACACATAAAGTTTATGGGAAAGCTGATAGCCCCAAGCTGACACAATAGAATAAACTCTACACTGCAGACAATGTCAAGATGACTTGTGTTTTGTAAACACCACCGGTTTAGCAAGCAAGAAAAGAAAATATTCATCTGAAACTTTAAACTATTCTCTTGTTACTGTAATCACTTGTGTGAAACAAGAGTAGTGTTTTCATGCCCAGGCATCTTCTGGGGGAAGTAAAACAGTGCTTAGAATATGGCAAATGTGGCACATATATTTCTGATAAGCAAAACACACATTGTGGAAATGAGGCAAACTGTTATGTGGGTATCCTAGGAGCAAAATGTGGCTTTTCCTTTGAAGTAGGAGATATCAATAGCTTTCTTTCTCTCCCCTTCCCCACTCTCTAACTCCCCCTCTCTCCTTCCCTCCTTCCTTCCTCTCTTCTGGCCTTGCTTCTCCTATTCTTTCCTTCCCTTCCTTCCTCCTTTTCTTTTTTCTCTTTCTCCTTCCCTCCCTCCCTTCATTTCCTTCCTGTCTACTTCTCTCCTTCCTTCTTCACTTCCTTCCAAACCTATTTATTTGTTTCTATGCGAATTATAGAGTTTTTTAATTATAGAAGGGAGATGCTGGAGAGATGGCACAATGGTTAAGAGGATTTGTTGCCCTTACAAAGGACTCAATTCGTTTCCCAGCCCCTACATGGTGGTTCATAATCATTGTAACTCCAGTTCTAGGGAATCTGATATCCTCTTGTGGTCTCTTTGCTCACACATATTGCTTATATATACATGCAGGCAAAACACTCATACACATAAAATTTAAACTCTTTAGAAAATATATAGAAGAAAGAAAAAGAACAAAGTGAGACATTTAGGAAATTTTGCCATGGGTTATCAATATATTCTGTTATGATATAAATCTTAGGTATCTCCAAAAACCATCTTGAAGGCTTGGTTGCCACACAGTGGAAGCTGGTGAAACCTTTAAGAGACGGGGCCTAGCCGATGAGGGTAGATCTCTGGGAGTCTGCTCTTGAAGGGGTCTCTGGTACCCCAGCCTCTCCCTCTCTTTCCTCCTGCCAGTTACAGCTGAGACCCTGACACTGTGAACCAAAATAAAGTTTCTTCTTTATGAATTGCTTATCTGAGTTATTTTGACACAGAAACAGGACGTTGACTAACATAGAACATGCAGAAAAATATGCCATTATTAATCATTACATGCAAGAAAATACAACTTTACTGTGTGAGTGGAGTGCCTTTTCACTGTGTGACAGATCATACAGGGCTTCAGTCTGGGAGAGCCTTCAGTAGATTACCAGATTCAGAGGTGTGGTCTGACAACAGGGAAGGTATGGTACGATTCTGCCGCGCATAGTTCTTACTCCTTTCAAAGGAAAAAGCAAAAAATGCAACCCAATAATCAGAATGCAAGTGGTCGATAGGAAGATACTGGCTATTTGGGAGACAGGAGACCCAGCTGAACAAGGTAGCTCAAGCCTGTAATCTCAGCATTCAGGAAGCTGGCCCAGGAGGACCACAAGTAAGAGGCCAGCGTGGGATACACTGTGGAGACTCAATCTTATAAACAAAACAAACAAAGGAGACAGGGCTGGTAAGAGGGTTAAGTGATGATCAGATAACCAAAGATACAAATTCTGTTTCCTCAGATGAACCGCTCAGCCCTGCACTTTGCAGTGGCGAGGAATCATTTATCCGCGGTGGATTTCTTACTGAGCCACAAAGCCAGAGTGGATGTTGCCGACAAGGTAAGCTCACCTTCAGTGGGTAGACCGAATTGGTGCATAACCTGCATGCAGGAGAATTTACCACTACAGATGTCTTCCTCTCGGGGGCGCACTTCCGTCGGCAGTGCGCATTTTTGGAAAGGCCTCTTTGAAAGGACTCCAATTGTGTACTCTTTGTACTTGGTAACTACATTGTTCAGTCATTAAGACTTGGGTTTTTACTTCTTTTCCCATATTGACCTTAAGGCCCTAGCTCTCATTCCCAAAGGCAGTATGATTGTCCACATTGTACAAAGGTAGTATGACTGTCTACATTGTGGTCAGATTCGTGAAAGACAGATGCTAATCCGCTCCAGGGACTTCACGTCCCGACTTTACCGCGTGGACTCTGATTCTAAATAAAACTTATCAAATGCATGTTCTGTGCCAGGCACAGGTATCAGGTAGGTATTTAATGCCATCTCCCTTCTAACCCTATAGGGAAATATTAGTAAAACACCCAATTTAGAGATGAGGAAACTCAGATAGAGACATTAAAGATCCTGTCCCTCAAAGTTACATTTTAGGAAGGACAATGGGAGGCAGCTTTGAACTGAACTTTTCTGGTTTCAGAAACTGTGCTGCTATTCACAAGTCAACTTACCTGTCTGTCTGCCAAGATAGTAAAGCCCATCGGAAGGCTTTCCACCTACTTTCCAGTGTCCATTTAGTACTTCATGGCACAAGGAAGCTAGTCAAAAAGATGGCAAATCATGCTTATCATCTCTTGTCACAGCAAACAGTGATAGCTCTACTCCATAAAACTCCTAGTTCTTAATTGGTTATTTAGACCATGGCTCTTTTTTTATTACTTTTATTTATAATCAGTGTGCATGTGTGGTGTGTGAGTGCAGGCATGTGTGTGCCTCAGCACACATGTGGAAGTCAGAGGAACTAGTCACTTCTGCTGTGGGACCCTACTCCATGGTTCCCACTTTATACCATACAGAGACACTCAAAGAGCTCTCTCTGTTCTGGATCCTCTGGGAGGGAAGGTGCAACACTGTTTTCTCTTCACCTCTCCGAGGGCCTGGGAGTAAATATTTGGCTGGTAAGAGGTATCTGTTCACACCTGTTAGTCATCTTACTGGCTTGGTTGGCAATCATAGAGAAAGTATAGATTTGATAACCCTGGGATTTTCCTTTGTGTCACCAGTGGGGCACAGATCTCTCTTGATTATTGTCGTGGCATTGGTGAGCAAGTAGATTGTTATGTAATAATCCAGAAATAAAAATTACCACTGACTGTCTGCACACTCTCTGAGTGTAATTAATTGTATAACAGCCATGGTTTGGGGGCAAAGGGTGTGGCTACTGGTTAAACCCAGGACTTTGCATTGTTAGGTAAGCATGCCATCACTGAGCTATCCCAACCTAAAACAAAACAAAACGAACAAACAACAAAAACCCAAGGGAAAAAAAACAACAACTCTATTTTGAGACAAGGTCTCTTTAAGTGGCTCACACTGGCCTCAAACTCACTATGTAATCCAGGCGGGCCTTGAACTTAAGACCTCAGACATCCAGATAGCTGGTTTTACTGGCCTGCCATATCCTTATCATGGCTGTGGTAATTAAGGGGCTTGTTCTTTAGGTATTCAAACTCTGGTTTGATTATTTTGCCTATTAGTTAGCTGTAAAAGATAATTGTCAAGAGACACGATTATCCAGATATATTTATATTTTGTCATAGAAAACTTCTTACAATATCTCTGTATTTTACTTTAATCCCCACATATTGCCCAGTTAACTTTCTTCTTTAAAGTATAGTGCTGATTTTTGACAGGTATACAGGTTTATAGAACCACCACTACTTTAAATTGTAGAGCAGGGCCTTGGGGTATAGCTTAGTGGCGATGAGTTTAGGATGCATGAGGCTCTGTGTTCAATCTCCAGCATCAAAAAGAGAGAAAAAAATCACAAACTAACACTAACAAAGCTTAACAAGCAGAACAGATATATCACCCAAAAATTTCTGTTGTGTTGTCTCTGCATTCTAAGCTGTCCCATCCCAGCAGCCACTGATCTCTGTGGTTTTGCCTTCTTGAGACTGTCACCTATGTGATACCACATGACACACAATTTTGAGGCTGGTTTCTTTCACTCAGTGAAACACTGATGATGTTCACCCATATCTTTTCTAAATGTCTCCCTTTTCTTTTTTAACTGAACAGTACTTTTATTTATGGATGTAGCCTAGTTTACCTATTTACTACTTGAAGGACATGAGAATGGCTTCTAGTTTGTTGTTATAAGTAAAGTTATTGGCGCTTGGGGAGATGGCTCAGTGGATAAGATATCTGCTGCACAATCATGAGAACCTGAATTTTAATGCCTAGCACCCACACCAGAAGCCAGACATAGCTACACACACCTCTAACAACAGTGCTGGAAACAGGGCTCACAAAGATGGGTGGATCCTGGTGCCTCCCTGTCCTCCAAGCATTGCCAAAATGGTGAGCTTCAGGTTTTAAAAAAATTGTTTAAAAATAATGTGGAGATCAATAAAAGGAAATGTTAACAATACAGCTGTACCTCAACACATATGTGTTTATTTATGTACACAGGCAAAGAAAAGGCACTGTAGACATTTTGCATGTCTTCAAAGGCACAACTTTTCCTCTCTTTGATATATGAGACAGCTGGGCCCATAGGGTGTGTGTGGGTGTGGGTGTGGGTGTGGGTGTGGGTGTGTGTGTGTATAACTGGACATGAACTGCAGACCTGACATGAACACATGAGCATGAGCTGTTCTCATCCTCACCAGCAATTGTGTTTTGCAACTGCATGGCCACCTGCTATTGATGGGTGTTTCCTCCTTGGGTTCTAGCCATTCTGCTCAGAATGTAGGCATCTCACTGTGGTTTGATTTGTGCTTCTCCACTAGTGGATGACATTAAGTACCCTTTTACCTGTTAGTTACCTTTTATGTATTATCCTTAGTGACATCTGCTCAAGTGTGTGTGTGTGTGTGTGTGTGTGTGTGTGTGTGTGTGTGTGTGTGCTGGAGATGGGAACCAAGGCTTTCCACAAATCAACTGAGCCTTCTATCACCAAGATGCACCCCTAACCAGATTTTTGAATATTTCTAAAAACTGGATTTGATTATTCTTTTATTTTCTTTTAAATTATTCTTCATTGTGAAGTTTTGAGAGTTTGAGAATAGATCCTATGAGAGGTATGTGTTTTGTGTTATTTTCTCTTATCTGTAGACTGTCTTCACAGTGTTCACAGAGCAGAGGTTTTTAATTTTGATGAAATAAAAATTTTGGTGGTTTTTGTTTTGTTTTGTTTTTGAGACAGTGTCTCATCATATGACATTAGTTGACCTGGAACTCACTATGTAAACCAGCCTGGCCTTTACACAGATATGCCCCTACTCCTGATTCTTGAGTGCTGGTATTCTTGAGTGCAGCCATGCCTGACTTAACATTCCTCTTTTTAAAAATGAGTCCTGATAGCGGTATTGCCTATATGTAGGGATGATTTGCCAAACCATGGCAATTTTCTCATATTTTAATTCTAAACATTTTATAGGCTTATGTTTCCATTTAGTTCTGGTGTTGCTATGGTTTCAACATGTCCCCTGTAATTCATGCAGCAGAAATAATGCATGGGGCCACTGCACTGAGTGATGAGACCTTTAAGAGACAAATAGCTCATAGTACTGTGCCCTCATGAATATATTAATGCTGTTTGTTCAGGGGAGGGCTCCTAATAAGGTGAGTCCCCATCCATCTTATAATACAGGTCACCAAGGAAGCCTTCAGCTTGGACTGCTAAAGCCTCCAGAGTCATGAGCCAAACCCCTTTTTCTTATTAATTACTAAGCGGTTATCACAGCTTTTTACAGAAGCTTAAAACAGATTAAGGCGGTGGTCCATCTTTAGTTGATTTTAGTTCAGAGCAGAAGCAGGTTGTGATGGTGTGTTTGCTGCCCAAGGATGATCAGGTTTTCTTTATAATGTCACTCCAGTTTCCAAACGTTTTGCAATGCAGCTCAGATCTGTCCCCAGAGTCAGTCTTCACCTGAGTTCAGTTCCCAAAACTGTTTGTCACGGAGTTAAGAATTTGTCCAGGTGCAGCTCAGGGCACAGCCCAGGGGTGTTTGTACACATGAGCTCCTTTGTGTCCACAATTAGGTCCTCCTGCATACACCATGCCCCATGTCCCCTATGCTGTCAGGGACAGAAGAGAGCAATGAGGCATGGATTCTGTCACCTTCTCTTCCTCAGGGGCTTCCTTCTGTTCCTCTTCATCCATGCCCAGTTCTAGATTTGGAAGCGCCTTGAGTCTCTAGGAAAATAATGAAACCAATAGGAAATTTCCTTCAGCACCCTCAGCACCCTGTGTTTGGGTCACCTTCCCAATCTGCCTACACCCATTCATTTTCTGGAGTCCTCAGATACCTGGATTTTATCTGGAGAGTTTAGCTGCTTTTGGTGGGAGAACCAGGGGAGGACATTTATTCTATCTTAGTTGTAAATGTACCCTACATAACAGGACTATATGGTTAGACTCTGTCAATAAATAAATAACAAAACTAAGGTGGAGAACAACTGAGGAAGATACCTGGCATTGACTTCTGGTCTCTACATATAACACACACACACACACACACACACACACACACACACACACACACACACCACCACCACCACCACCATGTACACATACACACACCACTCCATACACCATACACAGACATACACCACACCATAAACATAACACACACACACACACACACACACACACACACACACACACACACCAAACAAACAAACTCCATGATGTGAAAAACATCCTGCATGATTATATTTGATATATAATGAGTATAATGACATGAGACATAGCCCTGGTCAGGACCCTGCAGTCAAACTGGGGAACAAAGGTAAATACTGTAATTGACTAGTACCATTCAGGGCATTGAGGCTCAGGGTCAGATGCATGACTCAGTCACTGAGGAATAAGGTGGGTGGCATCCATGAGCTTTGATATAAGCTAAATAAAAGGAGGTTCTTCATCCAGGGTGAACAAAGTTCCCAGGTGTGATGCTCAAAGATCCTTCACTTTTCTGTGAGTCCTTGGGTGCATTGTTCCTTGCCTATGACCAGGCTGGTTATGGGGACATTCCAGCATTTTACACTTTAAAAAGCATCTGAGCCAAATGTCACCCATGTCATGGGCTCAAGTTTGCCCATTCTACAACAAAAGACTTTGTGGCATGGAGGGTACTCTGGGGAAATGTTTGTCTGTTCGTGGTGATTCATCGCCTCTAAGGAACGATGGCTCCAGTAGGAATTTGTGGTTGCAGAAACTCAAGCTGTTTGCTGCTTGGATTCCCAGAGTTTAGATTTTGTAATCAGTGCTAGGAGTTTTTAAAGACTATTTGCCTCAAAATTAGGTCTCAGGGGGAAAGAGACGCCCTATCACTATGTGATTTGTCACCCGTCCCAAATAGGACCATATGTGAAGCCAGATTTAGATTGCTGAATATGGAGCAGTAATAGTATGGAAGTATAAGTGAAGAGGGAGAATCATGGCTAGTGCACCTGTAAGAACTTCAACTAATCATGATAGTTCATTTTCCTTGAAAAGGAAGCATGCAGAGACCGCTAAGCTGTTTGTGTCCTGAGGTTTTAAGTAGGAAGTGTGCTAAGTCTCTATCCAGAGTAAGATCTGAACTATACAAGTCTGATGGAGCACGTACATTTACAGCAGGGTTTCTCGGCAGAAAGAAGTGTTTGTTGACACAATGACATCTGTGACCGTACAGTTCCTTGTTGTGGAGCAGCCTTGGGTATTGTGGAGTGTTCAACAACATGCCCAGCCCTGCCCTTTAGGTATCATTATCACCCCTGAGTCATGATTATCAGAAATATCCAAGACATTTCTAGGTATCCCCTGGAGACAAATTGCCCCTCATCAGGAGGCAATGGTTTAGAATTACACTGTAATACACTGGGACTCACTAGTCTGCCCCCAACCCGAACTCTTTTTAGAATAAGAGAATGCCTAAATACAGTGTCTGGAGCAGCCAAAGAAATACCAAGGGGCTTATCCATGTCACAAATAGGAGGGGTCTACAGACCCATATTTCTTGGTTATTTGCTCAGATTTATGCATCTAACAAGCCTGTGTAGTGGATCAAAACCATTGTTATTTGAAGCATAGATGATACAGTGGGAAGGCTATGCAGAATACCTAGTTTGCTTTTTGACAGGGATAAAGGAAACAGGAAAGGATACATGTGACCTTAACTACAAGGAACAAGACAGCTGGGCCATGATTGGAGGATATCTGTTATCCCAGGATTTGGGAGGCTAAGGCAGAAGTGTGGGGAACTTGAAGGCAGCCCGCCTTCACAGTGAGACTCTCTGTCTCAGAAAGAAAACAGAAGAACAAAATGGAATGTGAAGCTGCAGCTGAACATAACTAAGCTGAGCAATATGACAGTGCCTGGCAGTGGCAGAAGCGAGCAGTCTGAGTCAGTGCCGACCACCCCAGAGCTCACCTCTGCTTCTCCCACATGGGCTGCTGCGTACCTGCATCCGTTCCCCTCCTCCAGAGGCCGCCTGCCTGAAACTGTGTTAACTGCTGGCTGTGTTTCCCTCCATATTTCTCTCTGCTAGTTCAGGTCATAACTTAACGATTCAGCATACAATTGCCCATCAGTCAGTCAGGAAGTTCTGAAGTGAATCTCTCCATCTGACTATGTTATGCACACGGCTGCACAATTCCTGCCATCTTTTCGTCCATCTCAAGCCCCATTCCTTGGTTTTCTGATTGTTTTTGTTTTTGTTTTTGTTTTTGTTTTTGTTTTTGTTTGGAGACAGTATTTCTTGGTGTAACTGCCCTGAGTTCAAACTCACAGAGATCTACCTGTTTCTGCCTCCTGAGAGCTGGGGTTAAAGGCATGTGCCACCATTTGATTTTAAATAGAACTGCTAGTTAGTTTAGACAGTAACATTTTGCATTTTTTTCTAGTACCCTAGGAGACCATGCTTACTGGAATACTTTTCTACGGTTTGTCTTTTGTTGTCAATGACACTTTGTAAGAACATTCCATATATTAGAGATCCATTTATCTTCACTAACTATAGGGTTTTGAAAGTGTCATTTGTTTAAGGTTTATGTTCTATTTTTCCTTTTATAACTCTAAATTAAGGGAGTGCACTTTATAGCCTAGTTCAAAAATAGTTATTGTTTATGTGCTTGTGCTATTGTATTTATAATTTTTTAGTATAATGTAGTACAGCATTTGAGATCCACTTGTACCTGTATTACTACTTATAAGACCCCTATAGAATTACAATATCACTTTTGTTACATATTAGGTTACTTATTTCTTATTTTTCCAATAATCTAGTATCACCTAGGCTTTTGTTGGCTGAAGCAGAATGTGGTAGTTCATTGTGTAACGGGTTCTTCTCTCTTCTTGGGGAAGCATGGCTTGACAGTGATTCACCTTGCAGCCTGGTCTGGAAGCTTCGAGATCATGCTCATGCTAGTTAAAGCTGGAGCAGACCAGAGAGCCAAGAACCAGGTAGGTATGCAAGTCCCTTGGTCGGTCCCTGAGTGCTGGGGCAGGAGTTCCCGTGAGCACTCACCTCACCTCCTGGGGCCAGAGTTCTGGAGTCCCATGGGGGTGGTGGGTGCATGAGCGCTCAGCTGGTACTGGGACAGGAGTTCTGGGGGTTCCCACGGGGTTGGAGGGTGAGTGCTCATGTCACTGGTGTTGGCACTGGAGTTCTGGGGTTCGGAGGTAAGCACTTACTCCCTCACCCCGACTTTTTTCAGGAAGGAATGAATGCACTCCACTTCGCAGCTCAGAACAATAACCCGCACATTGTGGATTACCTCATTCAAGACTTGCACCTGCAGGACCTGAATCAGCCCAACGAGGTATGCCTGCACATTCCTTCTTAGTTCTGCTTCTTCCTGCTTGGGCGGGCCTACTGGAGCAGCAAGCACACACAGGGTTGGCCCTGTAGACAGCCCCTCGCCTCTCTGGTAGACCACAGAGCAGGAGGGAAGTGTTTGTTGGTGGCCTTAGCCCAGACTTCCGCATGGGGAGAACAGGAAGCATACAGAAACCCAGATTACCCCTTCCCTTTACACTCCCCCATCCCTGCAGGGCGTGGTCAGGACACTACCCACCTCCGTTAGTATTCAAAATGTGTGCTCAAGCTTTGTTCTACAGTGCCTGACCTTTAAAAATATATTTGACCCAAAGTTATGCAGAAATCAGCCATGAACTGCAATGCTCTTACTGTATTTGCCAGGGTGCCCTGAGATGAGTAAGACCAGCTTTACCTCATGACTGTGTCTTAATGTGCCAGGCACAGAGGAAAGCAACTATGCGCATTCTTTCAGGAACAGGCCTAAGGCCTAGAGCATACACCACCACCATGGACACTTGACTCGTTTTGTGGAGACAGTGGTATGTAGGAAGGAGCAGGCAGGCTGATGGCTTCAGGGACAGAAGCGGGTTTAATGAGAGCCACCACCTCCACTTCCTCCTATTATTATTTTTTGAGGTAGGAGTTGGCTGTATAGCCCCGCCTGCCCCATGGGATACTCCTGCCTCAGCCTCCAGAGTGCTGGGATTGGGCAGGCACCATCTTTCCCTGCTTCCTCCTCCTCTGGCAATGTGCTGAGGAAAAGGCTGAAGAGCTCAGTGGTGTATAGAGCTACAGCATCCACCGAGAGACCTTAGGTTAGCACAGGTTCAGAGACAACCAGAGTGAACTCAGGGCATTCACTAGGGTGTGTAGGAGGGGAAGCCTCTCAAAGTTGATTTTTATTTCTAGAATAAACCTGGACTAACAAATAAAATAGACAAAAAATGCCTGTTTTTCTAAGGTATTTGAAAGGAATGTCTCAGAAATCCAGTAGGAACAGAGTTTGCTAAGGGCAGAGGGGTGGGGGGACAGGACAGGTAGTAGTTGTTGTTCCCTGGGTAAAGAATTTCAATTTTGAAAGACAAAAGGGCTATGGAGATGCATGGTGGTGATGTTTACATAGTGATATAAATGTACCTAGTCCAGGGCTGGTGAGATGATGTGGCAGGGAAAGAGGCACTTGCCACCAAGCCTGATAGTTTGAACTTGATCCTTGGAACCCACATGGTGGAAATAGAGAACCAACTCCCACCCACAAGTTCTCTGACCTCCATCCCCACTTGGTGACATGAATACTCCCATACACAAAATAATGAACAACCAAAACGATGCCATTGAACTTAACAATGATTAGGGCAGTAAATTTTATGTTATGGCAATTTTATCATAGTTTTTTAAAAGTAGAAAAAGAAGCCTATTTGGAGCTAGGACCAGGAAGTGATGGCTATGGACTCATCGTCTGTATAAAGGTATTGCAGATTTCACAAAACCCATTGTGCAAGAAGGATTACTCTGCCTCAGGGTGTTACCTTCTTGCTCAGATTCTTCTCATCAGAGAGAGCTGCTCATCTAACAGGGTTAGTGAAATCCTTTACTTTGGCTTGAAGGGAATTCTAGATTCTGGCAAGAGAAGCTTTACACAGACGAGACCTTTAAAAGAAAAAATTAATTTAACTAGGCCTGAGCAAATTTGGGCGGAGTTAAGAATATGCCCAACACTGGGAAATCTGGGCAGTCTCCTAGCTGCACAGCCCTACACATCATTGTGATATTACCAGAGAAGAGAGACTAGAGCCAGGAGTTTGAGGCTAAGTAGTCTAAATGTTTTGGATCTGTATGTCAACCTCCATCTGTGATCAAAACTAAAGAAATGACAATATGGAGAGAGGGAGGAGTAGAAGCGAAGCTGCAAAGGCCATTTGAATATTGGTTAAAAATGTCCACATGATTGGTTATGCCTCTGTCAGCTGTGTGTGTTGGGAACATCTACTGACCTAACAGAATCTGAGCTGAAAGTCCTTGTAAGTTCAATTTAGCTTCTTGGGGAGTGGGGGTAGTAGTAAAGACTGTAAGGGAAATTGAGAGGACATCTGTTTTCTCATTCAGGCATCCTTGGTATCCACTGGGGACTGGCTTCAAGACTCCTCTTGGATGCTAACATAGGCAGAAGTTCAAGTCCTTATATAAAATGGTATAGTAATTTATATAACCTACACACAACCCCCTGAGCCTTCTAAAAATTCCAAGATTGCTGTTGATATCTGCTTCATCAATAATGCTGTGTAGTTTATTAAAGCATTCAGTGGGGTGAATGACAAAGAAAACGCCCACATGTTCAGTAGATGCAGGGTTTTTTCCCCCTGAATATTTTGGATTGAGAGCAGTTTTATTCACTCATGGATGCATGGGCCAAATGTATCTGAGATGGCATTTAGCCAAAGCTATCAACTGCACTGTAAAAGGAGGACTCACCCTGTGTCTGTGCCCCACCTCCCTGCCCCTGGCTGCATCTCCAACTCCAAACACTCATGACCTTCCCACACACTTTCCTGTCCTGCTTTAGTTACTCTGAATTTTCTCCTTATGCTGGGTTCTGCTTCCCATAAGGGGAGATGTTGTGGGGTGTGGATGGATGGACACAAAAGACTACGGAGCGGTGTCCTAAGGATCCCTATGATAAAGAATGGTTCAGGTGAAACTTTGGGTACCCACTTAATGGCTCTTTTTTTACTTTTTTGTTGCATTTGGTGATGTAATAAACGAAACATCAAATAATTTGTAATGGATCATTTCAATTGCTCAGACTTGTTTACAGGCAAAAAATTTAAATGCATCAAGTTAAAACATAGATGCTTAAAAATATGAGCTAACAAATGAAAAACAAAAGGGAACAAGAACCTGGAGACTGGGCCAGGAGTCATGGTGATCTGCTCTAGGCTTGCAGCCCAGGGCTCAGACACTCTTCTTAGACTTGGCTGGGAAGTTTTCCTGCCTTCCAAATATAGGGAATCCCTTGAGACTACACTGGAAAGGAGCCCACTAGAATATAATTCAAATGGGTTGTGTTGTTTCTATAAAAAAAATGAAACAACTTGATAAGAAACTTTATTTTCAAAGACACATATGACTTTGAAATTCCTATCAGTATTTTTGACCAATCATATGTACCTAGACAAGAAAAATATCTCTATCTTTTTATTTACATCTTATTGTCACTTCATCATTCTTTAAGGTACTCTTGAAGTATTTAAAAGACCAAGATTATGTTAAACATCCTATTATGCATAATTGGCTTTTACATTTCTTTTTCTTGGTGACATCTATAAAGGGCATCCAAAGTTTGAAGTCTTCACTCTTCTGTTGGAAAGCAAGAGTCTTTGTGATAACTTGGTCTTTCTTAAGCTTTCTTTGGGTGTGGGTCCTCTGTCACTCTGTGTAGCCATTTAAAAATGTAAAGCTTTGCAGCAACCTAGGGTAAAAAGAGACAAGCTATTTTAAAATTGAATAGACCTCTAATCCTTCTAGGGAAATGTTTGTCCTAGCTGTGGTTTACAGGTGATTAGCTGCTTCAAACTCATATGAGGAGTTTAATCCCCAAGGTCATGTGTTAATGACATTAAGCCAACTCTGATGTTAGGAGGTGGTGCCTCTGGAAAAGGATCAGGATTAGATGCGATCACCAGGGTGGAAACTCTGTGATTGAAACCTGATGGCTTTATAGTGAAAGAGAGGCACACTCCCTCCGTTTCTTGCTTTGTAACTCTTGCAATATTTTAGGCGTCAGCCAGCAAGAAGGCCTTTCCCAGATATGGGCCTAGACCTCACCCTTCTAGAACCATGAACCAAATAAACTTCTTTAACTTTATAAAGTAGCCTGCGTTTGGTATCATAGTCATAAAAAAAGAACACAAATTAATATATATTTCACATAATATATACATACATTAAAATTACAGTCCCCAAACTGATAAATATATATATTAGAATTCTTTCTGTTATAAGTAATGAAACTCATCTTGATCTGTACTGATAAAAATAACTTGCTGACTTATAAATGAGCTCTTTGAGGGAGTGTCTTGCTGATTTCAGATGTGGTGGATCCAGCATCTTTTTGCTTCCTTAACCATTGGCTGTCATTTCGCTACTGCTAGTCCTCTCTATGCTCTTGGTACAGTGGGAGGATGTCTGTTCATAGCTTCCAGTCTATGGCCTTATGGATTTGACTCGAAGATAAAAGACCTTTCCTATCAAAGTTCATATATGAGTGTCACAAGCAATTCTGTTTGATCCTGTTAGAATCACATGCTCAATTCTGAACCAATCACCATGACCAACATGAGTTATATGATCACTTCCCACACAGGAGGAAGTCAGGTAAAGCCTAGCAGTTGGCAGTGCTGAATGCAGTAAATGGTATAATATGAAAAGGCATGGCCACCAGCAAGCTACATTTAAGTTGACTGGTACCAAATGTGATCTATGATAATGTTATGGGCCAGAAACCTAAGAAGATCCCATAGTGGGCATTGAAGCCAATTGCATAATTCTGTGACATAGGGTCAGTTGCTTAAAAGAACCCCTGAGCCTGGGAATAAAGTTCTTGTTGGTAGAGACTTTTCTAACATGCATGAGGCCCTCAGTTCAGTCTCCAGCACTGGACAAATAAAGGCCACTAACCAAAGGCACTGGAAATTATGATCTTCATTGTCAAGTAGATTAGATTGAGAGATGCCTCGGCAACCAGGCAGGTGCACATCTCATCCTGTCTGAGACGATGTGTCTAGGAATGAGTAGACAGTGAAGGCTCTGGATTGTTCAGTGGTTTGATCTATTTATTATGGATAGGCATTTGAAATAGACAGTTGGAAAATGGTGGAACTGTGGGCAGTGGGGACTAGTTAGGGGAAATGGGTCAGTCGGGAGCCTTTGAAGGGTATGTCTTGGCCCTTGATCCTTCCTGGTCTTTGCTTCCTGAATGCCATAGGTGTCCTTCCCATACCATACCCTTCTTCCATGGTGATTCTATCTTGTTACAGCCCAAAGGCCACAGAGTTAGCCAATAGTGGACTGAAACTTCTGCACCCAAGGGCCAAAATAAAACTTTCCTTGTTAAAAATGTCTGTTAAATATTTACCACAATGTTTTTTAAAGAGGGGGATTTACTTGTCTCATGCAGGTGGCTTCAGTTAGGTCTGAATACAGTTAGGTCTGAATAGGTTCAAGTACAGCCATCAGCACTCTATTTCTTTTTACTCAGTTCTACTTATCACTCTTCTGGCCTCATTCTTAGTCACAGTCTACTTATCAAGTGACAAGGAGGGATAATGATATCTTAGCTGATGACTCTAGAATAAATATAGAATGTGTCAGTAAAGAAAATGCCATGGCTGACTCTGACTGGCCTAGTGTGATGTGTGATTAACTAAATCAAGTAGTCCTTGGTGGAGGCAGTGGAAGTCTTAGAGTTAAGAGTTGTATCAAAATGGGCTAAGGGGCATGTTCCAGAGGAAGAAATTATGGGCAGGGATTGGGTAATAGGTGCTTTTATCTCTTGGTACAGTATATTAGCCACCTTCATAGGCAACTCTCTGTTTCCTCTTGTTGCTTTCTACCCTGTCCACACACAATCACTCTAAGTAGTACTTCCACCCAGTCACCAGCACTTGGTTACTACATTACTATCCCAACGTGTGCTTATGTGCCTCTCTTCTCTGGAGGACCCCTCTCTACTGTTCCTCTTGCCTATTCTGCTGCTTAGCACAATATCTGTATATATACATACTCAAGAAAATTGTTTAATACACAAATGAGATAGAGTGTATGATAGATGTGGGGTTTGAGTAAGAATGGCCCCATAGGCTCATAGATTTGCATGTTTTGTCACCAGGGAGTGACCATCAGGAGGTGTGGCCTTACTGGAGTAGTTGTGGCCTTGCTGGAGGAAGTGTGTCAGTGGTGGACTTCTGCTGCCTTGAGGGCCATCCTCCAGCAGCTCAGGATTTGAAAGGGAGCCAGGGAGTTGGCCGACAACCACTCAACTTGACTTTTCCAACTTGACTTTTCTATCTGAGGGAGTAAAGCTTAACTCTCTCTCTCTGTCTCTCTGTCTCTCTGTCTCTCTGTCTCTCTGTCTCTCTGTCTCTCTCTCTCTCTCTCTCTCTCTCTCTCAGGGTCTTTCTTTGTTTCTTTGTTCTCTTTCCTTCTCTGTTGTGTTCTTTATTTCTTTTCTTGCTTCTATCCAGATGCATCCATTCTATCTCTCTTGATGTCTTCCTTCTAACTAATTTCATTTTTCCCTTATAGCTTATATATCCCAGCAAAATCTTTCAAGCAGTATAATTTATATTCTATTTTTCAAGGGAATGATTACAATGAATACAGGTAAAAGACATGTTTCTCATTTCCCTTACATGATTAAACATCCTATGTATTATAGCTGAAAAACATTTTATCCGAAGAACCCACATATGTTCATGCCCAAGCAACTTGTTAAGCAAGAGTGTAAGCAAGCAAGGTGTTTTTCTCAGCTAGTTCTTTTACTGGCAGGCTGCATTTTGCAGTCACAAAGGAAGGATCAATCACTTTATTGATTATCTCAAAAGGTGCTCTATAAGGAGTTTTAAAAGAATCATAAACCTAAATCTTTATATATTGAAAAAATAATCAGTCGGGTGCCAGTAGAGGAGACGAGCAAGATGGCGGCGGTGGCTGGTGTGGTGCGGGTACCCTGGCAGCAGGTGTCTGGACTTCTGAAGCAGCCTTTTCACCACTCTACACCTGCAGCATTGCAGTTGACAGTTGATTTAATCAAGGTATGGATGAAGAACTAGAAAGAGATGAAAAGGTATTTCTGCTTAGTGAAGAAGTTGCCCAGTATGCTGGGGCATATAAGGTTAGCAGAGGTCTATGGAAGAAATACGGTGACAAGAGGATCATAGATACTCCCATGTCAGAGATGGGCTTTGCTGGAATCGCTGTTGGTGCAGCTATGGCTGGGTTGCAGCCTATCTGTGAATTTATGACCTTCAACTTCTCTATGCAAGCCATTGACCAGGTTATAAACTCAGCTGCTAAGACTTACTGCATGTCTGCCGGCCTCCAGCCTGTGCCCATAGTATTCAGGGGGCCCAATGGTGCCTCAGCAGGTGTAGCTGCTCATCACTCACAATGCTTTGCTGCATGGTATTGGCACTGTCCAGGTTTAAAAGTGGTCAGCCCCTGTAATTCTGAGGATGCAAAAGGACTTATTAAATCAGTCATTTGTGATGATAATCCAGTGGTGATGCTAGAGAATGAACTAGTGTATGGAGTTGCATTTGAACTTCCTACAGAAGCTCAGTCAAAAGATTTTCTGATTCCTTTTGGAAAAGCCAAAATTGAAAGGCAAGGGACCCACATCACTGTAGTTGCCCATTCAAGACCAGTGGGCCACTGCCTATTGTCTAAGGAGGGGATTGAATGTGAGGTGATAAACTTGTGTACCATCAGACCAATGGACATTGAAGCCATAGAAGCCAGTGTCATGAAGACAAATCACCTTGTAACTGTGGAAGGAGGCTGGCCACAATTTGGAGTGGGAGCTGAGATTTGTGCCAGAATCATGGAAGGCCGTGCATTCAATTTCCTTGATGCTCCTGCTGTTCTGTGTCACTGGTGCTGATGTCCCCAGGCCTTATGCAAAGATCCTAGAAGACAACTCCATACCTCAGGTCAAAGACATCATATGTGCAGTAAAGAAGACATTGAATGTCTAATTTGGACTTTGAATATCAAGTCATTGAAATTTATTTAAAATACTTATTGGGACTTCATCTAATGTGTACTGAGAAAATTTCCTAGTTATAAAATCAATGCTAAAGCAGCAGCAGCAGGTGTCTCTGTATTGATAAGAAGCTTAAATGTGCTTATGAGTGGAAAACTCCACTCCCTGCCCTAGATGCTATACTTCCTTTGTCTGTTACTGTTGGTCTAGTCTTTGAATAAGATTAATATAAATATTTTCCCTCTTTCACTACAAGGGGCAAGAATGTTGCAGAGTCCTAATGAAAGATATACTTACCCCAGAAGATATAATTACCTCAGAAGATATACTTACCCCTGAAGATATACTTACCCCAGAAAGATATACTTACCCCAGAAGATATACTTACATGTTTAAAAAGTATATTATCTACATTTGCTTTTAAGTTGTTTTGATAAGGAATAAAGGGGTTTTCTACCTATGAGTAATTGTGCCTCCCCCCTAGATTTCTCTATGTAACAGTTCTATCTGGGTACTCACTTTGTAGACCAGGCTGGCCTCAAACTCACAGAGATCTGCTTTGCCTCTGCCTCCCAAATGTTGGGATTAAAGGCGTGTGCTGACACCACTGTTGTAATTCAGGCAAACCTGGCCCTGCCTCTCACCCACCTGCACATGGCAGGTGTATATACCCTGAATCTTTAAAATCTACCTATTTCCATTCTCTTTCCCTTTCTTTCCTGCTGTTTCCCTGAGGCAGACAGGACTTTTCCTGTTTCCCTCTTGTCTTCTGTCCTCTCTCTGTCTCTGTGTCTCTTTACCTCTTTTCTTTTTCCTCCCCCCTTCCCTTTCTAATAAAACTTCTCATTAAAAATAAAACAATCAGTCATCTCTACCTTAAATCCTCAGGGTGTATACCCATTTGTCAACAGTTTTTTTTTTTTAATATCAGGAAGCTGAGGGCAGATATGGGTACAAGGAATTACTCATCTTTGATTACCAACCAATCCTAGGAAGAAAGGCATGTCAGCTAATAATAATTGGGCTGCTTTGTTCTTGTTTCTTTACCTTAACCAGCCCCTCCCTCAATTATGTGCCTTTCTAACTAAACTTTCCCAGATTTTTTTTTTACCTCAAAGCCATTAACAAAAACATCTTAATCTAACATTAAGTCATATTTAAAACTTTGTTTTAACTGTGATGCACACCGAAACCTGTGAACACATCTCTCAACATTAAATCTAAAAGAACTTGGGTTAACTTAGCTTCTCGAACACATTTTTTTTCTTAATCATTAACCTAAGCCACTAAGTCTATATGACTCCTCAAGAGAAACTAGCTGTGTGATATTTTCTTGTTCTTATTTTTTATCCTCTGTAGCCCCTGCTTTATCAGGGATGGGGGGACAATATCATGTCTTGCTTTTACCTATATTAGTTTTTTCTCTAAGCTGACCTCTATCACAATTCCTCAATATGTTTATTAAAGACCCTCAGTCATCAAAATCCTATTTAAACAAACACTGATATTGTATGAAATCATTGCTTCAGCTAAACAGTACAGCTAGGAGGAAATCATCATTTTCATAATAATCCACAGGCAAAAATGCCCAGTAGAATGAGATATTTCCATGAGATAATCATACTACATTAGAGACAGTGGGGATTTCCCCACATCCATTCACACCATGACAGATATTAGAGAAAAATGGCAGTAGAAAACATGTAAAGATACAGCAGTAGCAAGAGACATTCTGGGGCTCTCAGGGCCTTGCTATTTGAGATTCACACATCAATGCCTTGCAAGCTGGGGGGCTGATCTCCTGAAGTTGGGGCCTGCTGCTCCTCTGACATGGCCACTGGCAGTGGGCTTTGGGGTTTCACATACTCAAGTCAGGTCCAGTATCTGGCTCTTCCCACTGCCTGCCTATCTCAGCCCCTCTCCATCACCATGTCTGCCTTTGTCCTGCCACAATAACAAAACCTCTGAAGTTGTAAGCCAGCCCCAATTAAATGTATGGTGTCTCTTCACAGCAACAGAACACTAAGATGACATTATTTTCATAGTCTATAATCAGCGCCTCTTGTTTCCTCTTTCACGATTTATGTGTTACTCAGATTTGTCCTCACTAGGACACACATAAACAAGATATCACTACACACTTACCCAAGGGAACAGTTTAAAACAAGGACAGATTTATCACAACTCTATGATTACAGAGATTTTATTTATCATGTCAAGAAGAGCACAGCAGCTTTCACCATGGTGGCCAAGAAGCAGAGCTGAGCACAGTGGAACAGAGCCATCACAGGACAGGCTCCAAGGACAGGTCCTCAGTGACAGACATCCTTCAACCAGGACCATCTTCTGTAGATGCACAGATTAAGATACATGGGACTAGGAAAATATAGGTTCATTTTATTTGGGGAGAAGTCACTTACATGAGAAACTGATAACTCACAAGTTCCAGCTCTGAGGATCAACGCCCAGCTGCTCTCTGTGACCCAAGAGAGAGAGCAAGCCTGTCCCAGACCCCAGATCAAATCCCACATGCTCACATATGCACCACAGGTGTAGCTAGTTGGATCTCTCACTACAATCTTCCACAGTTCTGTCACCTCCAATAATCTGTTTTAAATTGGAATCCATCAGTGGATTCAACCATTATTTAGGGCAAAGCTCTCTACCTCAAATCCTGCCTGGAGACACCCTCACAAAACTCCTAGAGGTGTGTGCTTTACTAATGTTCTATCCGTCTCATAATCCAATCAAGCTGATAAATAAGATTAATTACCACAAGTTGTTTATATGACTCTTCATCTGCTGTTGTCATTTGTGGATATTTGTGTTAACTCACTTACAGTAACTATCAGTCTGTCATTTTCAGACGTACTAGATTTTTGTCCTTCAACCATAGCCCAACTACGGTTCCAACCTATCTGTTCCTTCTCTTTACATCTTTCATGATTTCCTGGGAATAAAGAAGGCAGAAACCCTTCAAGCTGAGAAGGGCTGGAGATGTAGGTCTCATTGACAATATATGCAGCCTAAGAATAGTGAATTCCACAAACTTTTTGGTGATTGTTTGTTTCTCTGGCTTTTGCACATTCATGGACTAAGGTCTTCACAAGCCTGATCTCAGCAGATGTTTTTCATTTTGTTCAATAGGCACTGGACTATTTTAGCCTGTTGCTTTCCTTTATCCTCCCTTATAAGCAAAAAGTGGTCATGATCTTTTTGTTAAACATTGTTAGCAAGTGGACAAATTCAGAACCCCATTTATAGAATATGGTACCCTCTTTACATAGTGGTAATCATTCAGTTAACACAGTAAGCCAAGCTGAGTCCTTTTTAGTTGAAGAAAATTCATCTCTGACTGTTTTATCATCCAGTTTCCTTTTTCTTTTTTTTTTAAATACTCAAGTTGAAAATCAAGTTTTTTGTGCATCTTTCACTTTTCTTGATGACATTTTGGCTTTTGCAAATGCAGTCTCCATTACTGACAGGAAAACCTGGAGACATGACCATTATTCAAAAATCCTACATAGGAAGAACCAGATGTAAACACCTCTCTTTACTGGAGTTTCTGAATGGCTCTGTCTCAGTTTTTCTTTCCATTTCAAATAAACCCACACTTAAGAGTTTTCTGGTTGATTTTTAGAAATATAGCCAGTGAATATGGCTTCATATTCGATTGAGCTGGGGCTGGAAAGATGGTTCAGTGTGTAAGAGCACTTGCTGTTCTTGCAGAGGGCTTGGGTTCAGTTCTTAGCCCCAACTTGGAGGCTCACATGTTTTCAACTCTAGTTTCCAGTGATCCTGAAAGTCTCCAGCAGGCCCGAGCATGGCAAACACATGCCCGCCCATGGCAAATACATACCCACCTATGGCAAACATGGCACCAACAAGTTTGCCTTTTACCCTTTTCCCTCTTGCTAAAAACCATTAATTACATTCCTAAAGCTAGCCCCCAAGATCCATTCCCTTATTTGACCACTGACTCATTCCCAAGACTAAACACCAAGGTCCAACAATCAACATTCATTATTTGGCTAACTTGTCCAATCAGGACTTACCCACTCACCCTAGCACAGACTCTCCTCCCTTTTCCTCTTTAAAAACTCACTCCTGAAAAAAAAAAAAAAAAAGCCTGCTTGTGTTTTGCTGCTGCTTCTTGCTATCTGTCTTTGCAGATTCTTCCCCACCTCCCACCCTGCCCCTTCTGGGTAATAAATCTTCTTTGTGCTGAGAACTTAGTGTCTGGGTGTGTCCTGTGCCAACTCCGGGGGCGGGGGGGCTGTCTTCCCTTACAGATCTATGTTCTCTTCTGGCCTCTGAGGGCATCATGCATGGATATGATACATGTATATGCACTGAAGGTTTACATGTATACATTAAATAAAAATACATCTTTAAAAATAAAGCAAAATTCAGTTGGCCTAATGTATCTGAATGAGCTGCATGTGTGTTAAACACGAAAGAATTTCTGTCTCCTGTGTTTTTACCAATAAGTCTTAGTGTGATGCTCAGTTGCTTCAAAGAGGACCTGGAGCTAGCTAGTGTCTCAGGAGATATCTGAGTGGAAAAAGTGCGGGGCCATTCAGGAAGGAATCCTTGCTGCATGTGAAATTGCATCTGATCGTTAGACTGTGAAATATTGCTTCTCTGATGCTTCAGAGGACCTCTTATGAACATGTCACTTGTCACCATGAAACTGATTCGCTGTTGATATGAGTTCCCCACAGCTCTGATGGCAGCCCAGAACTGGATCCAGTTTAGGTTTAGAGAAATGATCATCCCCTTCCCATGAGAAGGGGCTGGAATTGATACAACCAAAGGACCACCTTAGCTGCGTCTTTACCTTCAAAATGCTACCCATTCCTTTTCAGTTAGCCCAGTTTGCTAAACATGAAATAACTGTAGAATTTGTGATTGATTTCAGAGAGGAAGAAAACCATTTCTCTTGGCAGCTGAGAGGGGCCATGTTGAAATGATTGAAAAGCTTGTCTTCCTTAATCTGCACTCTTTAGAAAAGGATAAGGTGAGTTGGACTTTGTTTTTACTGAGAACAAAGGAGTAACAGTTGGTGTGGGGATTAACAATCGGTGTGCAGATTGCTTGGCATTTTTTTTTTTCTGGCCGACAGCACAGCAGAGTTCTTGAATCGTGACTAACTACTGAGAGAATCATGGACTGTGCAGGAAAAATCAATCCACCTTCGCTGTGGGTTGTTTTTTGTAGGTGGAGGTTTTTTTTTTTTTTTTTTGTTTCAGACAAGATCTCTATGTAATCTTGGCTGTCCTGGAGCTTCATATGTAGACCAGGCTGGATTTGAATTTATAGAGATCTGCCTGTTTCTGCTTCTTGAGCGCTGAGATTAAAGGCGTGTACCACCAGGTCTGGCTAAGATTTGTAGTTTTTACTCCATAAAAGAAAATTAATTTTTTTTTCAAGACAGGGTTTCTCTGTATAGCCCTGGCTGTCCTGGAACTTACTCTGTGGACCAAGCTGGCTTTGAACTCACAGAGATCTGCCTGCCTCTGCCTCTGGAGTGCTGGGATTAAAGGTGTGTGCCATCTCTGATCAGCCATAAATGTTTTGAAATTAGTTTACTTCTTGAATTTTCCTACTTCATGTTGAGTTTGGCTCTTCTAAATCAGAAGCTTGATGAACTTGGCCTCAAAATGGCTTGTGTTGCATTGTTTCCTAGACAGAGGACCTACTCCCGGGAAGCCCCAAACCTCTCCCATCCTTCCTTGAGGACTGCTTCCGACATGGTCCCACATTAACTGTGAAGGGAAAACTCACAAGGTAGCCAGCCATCCATACGGACATCTCTGATGGCTTTCTTAGGGTAAATTCCAAGATGGGGAATTATAGGTCTACAAGTTTTGCACCATATACTTTTTGATATGTGTATGTGTTACTAATATTACTTACTACTCAGGTTGATTTTATCAGGGGGCCCTAACATAGGCAAGGTCCAGTTATTTTTGTTGGTTTTTTTTTTTCCTAGAAAATTGGTGCCAAATTCAAGCAAGAATTTTTTTTTCTTTCTCCTGCTGGGTCAAATAGCCAAGGCTTTTCATTTAAAACTTTAAATTGATAAATTTTACTTAAAACTGATAGTGTCAACACCCTGCTTTAACCAAAGAAAAAGCTTCCAGAAGCCACACTGTGCCCTGGTGTTGGAGGCTGTGTTCCTCGGCATAGGCAATTTCACCTGGAGTGCATTTCTGTTTCAGGAGGGAAACACTGCCTTGCACCTGGCTGCAATGCATGGTCACAGCCCAGTGGTGCAGGTGCTACTAACTCAGTGGCTGGAAGTAAATGAGACCAATGAGGTATGTGGACACACCAATTCCAGCTGGGCATGGGACTTAAAGGGCAGGTCGGCGGCGCTTTCTAGAAAAGGACAGGAAATCGAAGACATTAGTGCTACCAGGTATAAAATGGAACCTTGAAGAGTCCTGCTGTTTTCTTCAAGTATCCTCTGGCTGGGAATTTGTTAATTCACTCAAAAGCCATTTGTAAGAGGAGGGATGATACCAGAGAACAGTCTTCCAGGTACAGCAGAGACTGTGGCAGCACACACAGAGCCTGCACCAGTTCAAGTTGGATGGGGGCCCAGCATTGAGAGGGGGAAGTGGACACATGTTTCCAGCTCTAAGGAGTTGTCCCCAGTTGACAACTGCTTGCAAAGGAAAAATTGGTTTTATCCAATGGAGTCTCACTGGATATACGAACCGCACTCAGGGGAGGCTCTATGCCCAGCAGTACACGCTGACACAAAAACTAACTCAATGGTTTTTTTGTAGACTTTTTGTCTCATATTGCTGTGTTTGGATATTTTTTGTTTGGTGTTTTCATGTATATTATGTTTTCGGATTTTGTGGTTTTATGGATTGTGTGTGGGGGTGTGTGTGTGTGTGTGTGTGTGTGTGTGTGTGTGTGTGTGTGTTTAATTCTGCTTTGTTTGTTTCTCTTTTTCTAAAGAGAAAGAGAGAAAGAAAGGACATGGAGTTGGGTGAGTGGGGAGATGGGGAGGACCTGGGAGGAGCTGAGGGAAGAGAACCTGTGATCGGAATATATTGCATAAAAAAAAAATCTTTCCAAGAAGAAGATGAGGAAAATGACATTCTCAGAATAAGTATGTGTTTTTACACTGGAGTCCTATAGGACAAGAAAGACATGGGGAAAACATGATTATAGCTGTATACACAATAGACCATGAGAATCTATTTCAGAAACCACAGCCTTCTCATAGAATGCAACAAGTTATCTCTGTTGCCATTCCAGTGGTCTTTGGCAGAGAGAGTTGACCTTTGTTGTTGTTTTTTATTTTCCTGGTGTGTGTGTGTGTTCCCTGGAGTGTGCACACATGTATGTGCCTGGGACTGACCTGGTCAGGAGGACAGAACTGAGGACAATTAGATTGAGTAAGCTAAAATAGCTAGATGATGAAAGCTCTGATCACCAGCTTTTTGGTTTTCATGTCTATAAAATGAGGATAAAATAAATTCTGTCCTGGGATTGTCATATGATTTGACTGTACCAAAGTATACGGTCTTGGCAGTATATGTTGGTCTATAAATGTCAAGTAATGCTAACAACAACAAAAGAATCATGCATAAAAATATTGGAAACATGCTCTTTTTCAAAGTATTTTTATTGTATTCCAAGGGGAAATTGATTTTAACTTCTTTTTCTTTTTACCAGAATGGAGAAACTCCATTCATGTTGGCTGTTGAAGGAGGTCATGAAGAATGCAGTCGAGTGCTCCTGGAAGGAGGAAGTGATGTCAACATCCCAAACAAAGTATGCAATCTGGGCTGTGACCAGCCGTACAGTGGGAGAATGACTTCGAATATTCTTTGGAACGCTGGTCCTTAATTGATGATTTACTAGGCTTTTATAGAATTAAAATTTTAGTATGTCCAGTTTTGCATAAAATGATTTGCCACAGATAGTCTCCATTAACGTCTCTTCAAAAGCAATGTTATTTCTCCAATTCATGTGGGGGATGAATGAAAAAGACAAAAGGAGCAAGGACCTGTCACAGCGAGATGACAGACACTCCACTCCACTTTGTTGACAGCAGACACTAAAGAAGAAAAAAGTTTGCTGTGTGAAAGCTCCGCAGGCTACCCTGGGCCCCAAAGAATGCAGGATGTTGTCTGCCTCTAAATATAAAATACTTTTATTGAGTTATGGCACTAAGAGACTTTGAAGCTTTCAAGACGAGTGTCTTAGTTACTATTGCTGTGAAGAGACACCATGAACCAGGCAGCTTATTAAAAGGAAACATTTAACTGGGTGCTTGCTTACAGTTTCCGAGGATGAGTTGGTGACCATCATGGTGAAGAGCATGGGGGCCGGCAGGTGTGGTGCTGGAGCAGTAGCTAAGGGCTTACATCTGATCCACAGGCAGCAGGCAAAGAGTGAGAACAGGCCTGGCATGACTTTTGAATACTCAGAGCCCACCCCCAGTGACACACCTCCTCCAATAAGGCCACACCTACTAACCCTTCCTAAACAATCCACCAACTGGGAACCAAACGTTCAAATATATGGGCCTATGAGGGCCATTCTTATTCAAAACAGCACAACTACATTACTAGCTTTACTTTTTTTTAGATTAAAAACAAAACAAAACCATAACCTAGAATGAGCAAGAAACTAATCCAGGATCAAACCACAATGGCAGTGCAAACATTCAAACTCACGCTGGTGGCTGTGTCTTCAGACAGGTTACTGTGATTTTCTGATTAATAGTAAATTACAATGAAAATAACTCAGGACAGAAAATTCAAATGGTACCTAAAAGAGTATATGATTTTAAAAGTGGCTTTCTCCAGCTCTACATTTCATTTCTGCTCCTTGGAACTCATGTCTCTGAAGTATACTTAGTCTCCTGGGAAGTTTCCGTACATTCACAAGGAAAGTGTGAGTGGATTGGACATTTGTCTACACAGTAGTACACTATGTAATTTATGCTACACACACACACACACACACACACACACACACACACACCCACACACCACACACACACACACACACACACACACACACACACACACACACACACACACCTATGCCCAATTAAAAATAATAAAAGTTCTTGGGATGGCCTCCCTGGTTAGGAGGGCTCTGAGGCTCACTGGCTCGTCTGAACCCCCATAGCTTCTATATTTGCCTATTCTGTCTTCACCAGGATTTGGCTTTGCCATGATTTTCACATGCATGAGCTCACATTCTCTGCTTCTAGGACAGCAAATTCCCATCATCCACGTTCTTTCAGCAATAGCCTCACTGATGGAAGTTGCCAGAAGTCCACATCCAGCTCTTCCCAGAGCCATTGCTTGAATAGGTTTGTGTTTCCCAGTCACTAAGGAGTTTAATCTCCAAAGCCTCACGATAGCAAGGGCAGAAACTTAATCCATCCCTGGTATTTAGAGGTGCAGTCTTTTGAAAGTGTTTGGTTGTTAGGGTGGAGCCCAATGATTGGATGTATCCTGGTAAGTTTATAAGGACAGGGAGAAAGACCATATCGATAGAGATATACACAATAGAATTGTGATATGCAACCTAGAGAGTCCTGTTCTAGAGCCAACTCCATGAGATTTGGACTTCTTGTGCAACAACTGAGCAAAATAAACCTCTCTTCCTTATAAATTAGCCTACCTCAAGTACTTCATGATAGTAATGAAAACTTAACACAATTTCTGGAGTTACTATTGTTTGCCTTTTTTTAATTAGCATAGTTCCTAGGTAAATAATCCTAGCATCCATTATAGTTCAGAACTGTTCTCAATTGCCCTGGAGAAGACTCCTAAGAAATAAGCAGTGTGGACTAGGAAGCCAGCTGCAATAGCACACACAATCAAAGGTGTTTTGGATTTCATTTTGCTTTTCCATCTGCAGGTATGGGTTCAGTCATGGAGATGCTTTATTTTGCTGATACCAACTTAACTTGGCCTCTAGGAGATGGCTTTTGTGTTCTCTTGTGCCTCTCTGCCACTAGTGAGCAAAAGCACACAGTTGAGTCATTTCCGAAGAGATATTTGGAGTAAGAGCATGGATTTGGTTGTTAGTAGACTTCCTCCATTTGTGCTAGATGGAGAGTCTGCCCAGTTTGAGCAATAGATTCTCTTCAGCATTGTGTCAGCTGCCATGGCCCTGGGATGACTTTTGTAAGTCTTAAAAACTCAAGCTTCTGGAAGCCTTTTGTCATATCTTACCAAACGTATTTAAATACCCCTACATTTCCAGTATATATTACCACTGTTACTCTAAACAAATTTGTTTTATTTTTATAATTATTTGGCTGCAGTGAACTCCATCTAATTTATAAGTGATTGGTTTCTTAGAACACTGTGTATATATTTGGGAATTTCCAGGAGGTTAAAAAAATGAAAACTGTAAGTCTTTTACAAATATAATGAATATTTTATGATATTACATTTAACAATCAATGAAGTAGGAATGTGCCAATTAAATATTTATTTGCTTCAATTTTGTGGCTTTCTCTTGGTGTCTTGGAACCAGTAATTATTATTTTTTCTTAAGTTTCACATATTCCTGGGGCTAGAGACATCTCTCAGTGTTTAAGAGCACTGGCTTCCAGAGGACTGGTGTTCAATCTCCAGTACCCACATGGTGGTTTATAATTATAACTCCAGCTCCAGGGAATCTGATATCCTTTTCTGGTTTTCATGGGTACCAGGCATGCACATAGTGTACAGACGTACATGCAGAGAAAGCAGTCATACACACAAAATAAAGTAAGTTGCACATGTTCCTTTGTCTCTTATAAAGCCTATAGGTCATGTACATTGTGTCTATAGGGTTGCATAGAAAGGTCCATAGCACCACAGCTTTTATTATAGGATGCTGGCTTTGAATTCTTCAGACATTTATTTCTGATTTGGATGGCCTCAGATCTTCCCATGGGTGCCTCCATTGTTCTGATCTCAGTCTAAATGTCACTTTACCCAAAAAGGCATTTTTGGTCATTCATTACAAAATAGCTGTCAGCTACCTCTTTTAGTTCATGTTATAGCTGACAATAACCAGCCAGTATTATTCTTCTAATAACATCTAGAATCTGTTGATTACATTTTACTCTAAAGCCACTGATCCACCAGTCCACCAGTCCACTAAGCCATGGATTAATTTATTGTCTACCCTACTGGAATCTAATATCAGGCATCTAATAGATAGCTTAACAAACATGCTTCTAACACAATTTGTCACATAATGAGTGCTCAGCCATGTTTGTGGAATGAACAAAATTACATTTATTCTCCAGCACTATTGTGGCTTAAAAGAAAGAGGCGGGAGGTTATTACAGGAAGAAGGAAACACCACCTCATGCCCAGAGATAGCCATATCTTAGTTTAATAAACCTGTGACTATGTGGTTATATAGCGAAATCATCAAATAGTCACATGATAATCCTGGATTATATGATCATAAGTGTCTGGTAAAGTGAAGACGGAGGCAGGAAGGACCCAACTAGATACTACTGAGTTTTAAAGACAGAGATAGGGGGTCATAAGCCAAAATATCTAGGTATTTGAAAACCAGTTCTTCTAGCAGCCTCCAGAGTGGAACTTGGCTCGCTGAGATCTACATCATACTTCTTGACCTTCTTGACCTGCCTGATGATGATCCTTTTTTTTTTTTTTTAAATTAAGATGCTAAGTTTGTGGCAGCAACCTGTAGTGGCAAAGAAAACAAAAATAGGTGATTATACTGCTTTTACAAATGGAGACAGAGAGGCCTGTACTCGGATGCCTTCTAAGCCAGGCACCAGCTCAAGCTAGTTTTCAGTTGGCTGGTCAGCCATCTATTGCTTCACAACAAACCAGTGAAGCTCTGTGGCTTAAAGCAGTGTGGTATTATCTGTCATGGTGTGTCAATCTCAACGCACAAAAGCATCTCTAAAGATTAAGTTTATGGACTGTGTAATGTTGTAGTAGGATATGGATTCAGCCTATAAATTTTTTCAAGGACACTGTGGCCAAGGGACATTCTTAAGATGAAAATTAATGAGGATTTCTTAAGATGTTTGAAATAAAAATTGTTGACTGTCTGGATCAATGGCAAGAGTCATAGGTCCAAGAGCAAGCAGGAGGTTGCTAGGTAGACATCCTGGCAGGAATATTACTTTATAAAGATTTATTTTTAACTTTTGAAATCATGTGTATGTTTATATGTTTGGCAAGGTATGCTAAAAGAGGATGTCAGATCTCTGGAGCTGGGATTGCAGGTGATTATGAGCCACCTGCATGGATGCTGGGAACCAAACTGAAGTCCTCTACAAGAATGGTACATGCTCTTAAGTGCTTAGCCAGCCTCCGGGAGTATTGTTACTCCAGAGACTCAGAGCCTTTTGTGCAGTCTTTTGAGAATAGTTCTTGTGGTGGTTAGAATAAGAATTGCCCCCATAGGTTCATGTTTGGATACTCAGTCCCCAGGTGGTGGAACTGTTTGATAAGGATTAGGAGGTGTGGTCAGATGTTAGCTGGAAGCTCAACTGCCACACCTCTATGTAGGGGTTATCCTTCGATAACTTGACAGCACCAACAAGGAGCATTTCTGTAGGGGTTACCCTTGGATAGCTTGGCAGCTGGTCCCAAGAGGAAGTGCTATAAGAATGATCAGTACAAAAGGAAGGGAGTGGAAGCTGCCAGGCTAGTTAGGGGCTCTGCCTGGAACTGGTGCGTTTATCACTTCTGTTATAACCACTGGTTAAAGAAGTTACAGGTCCCTCATATCCTCCTCTCCCCTCCTCTTCTCCCCTTCTCATTCTCCTAGCTCCCTTTCCCCTCCCCCCATACTCCCAGTTTTCTCAGGAGATCTTGTCCCTTTCCCCTTTTCTGGGGGACCATGTATGTTTTTCTTAGACTCCTCTTTATTTCCTAGCTTCTCTGGTGGTGTGGATTGTAAGCTGGTAATCCTTTGCTCTATGTCTAAAATCCATATATGAGTGAGTACATACCATGTTTGTCTTTTTGTGACTGGGTTACCTCTCTCAGAATGGTTTCTTCTAGTTCCATCTATTTGCCTGTGAATTTCAAGATTCCATTGTTTTTTTCTGCTGAGTAGTATTCCATTGTATAAATGTACCACATTTTATCTATCCATTCTTCAGTTGAGGGCATCTAGGATGCTTCCAGGTTCTGGCTATTACAAATAATGCTGCTGTGAACATTGCTGAACAGATTGTTGTATGAATATGCTTCTTTTGGGTATATGCCTAAGAGTGGAATTGCTGGATCTTGTAGTAGACTCATTCCCATTTTCCTGAGGAGTCGCCATAATGATTTCCAAAGTGGCTGTACAGGTTTGCACTCCCACCTGCAATGGAGGAGCGTTCCCTTTTCTCTACATCCTACCCAGCATAAACTGTCATTGGTGTTTTTTTATTTTAGCCATTCTGACAGGAGTAAGATGGTATTTCAGTGTTGTTTTGAATTTCCCTGATGGCTACGGATGTTGACACTTTCTTATGTGTCTTTCAGCCATTTTAGATTCCTGTATTGAGAATTCTCTATTTAGTTCTGCACCCCACTTTTGGGATTGTTTGGTGTTTTGGAGACTAGTTTCTTGAGTTTTCTGTATATTTTGGAAATCATCCCTCTGTCAGATGTGGGGTTGGTGAATATCTTTTCCCAGTCTGTTTTGTCTTTCTGATGGTGTCCTCTTCCTTACAGAAGCTTCTCAGTTTCAGGAGGTCCCATTTATCAATTGTTGATCTCAATGTCTGTGCTACTAGTATAATGTTCAGGAAGCGGTTTCCTGTACCAGTTAATTCAAGGGTATTTCCCTCTTTGTCTTCTAATAGGTTCAGTGTGGCTGGATTTATGTTGAGGTCTTTGATCCCTTTGGACTTAAGTTTTGTGCATGGTGATAGACATGTGTCTATCTGCAGTCTTCTACATGCCAGCACCATTTGTTGAAGATGCTTTCTTTATTCCATCATATAAATTTAGCTTCTTTGTAAAAAATCAGGTGTTTGTAGGTGTTTGTATTAATATCAGGGTTTTTAATTCTATTTCATTGGTCTACCTGTCTATTTTTGTGCCAATACCAAGCTGTTTTCGGGACTATAGCTCTGTAATAGAACTTGAAGTCAGGGATGGTGATATCTCTGGAAGTTCCTTTATTGTACAGGTTGTTTTGGCTATCCTGGGTCTAGTCGGGGAAAGAATAGAGGAGAGTAAGATATGAAATACCGTAATGGAGGGAGACATTATAGGTTTAAAGAGAATTCAGGCACTAGGGAAATGTCTGGAGATCTATAAAGATGACACCAACTAACAATCTAGGCAAAAGAGGAAAGGCTACCTTAAATACCCTCCCCTGATAATGTGATTGATGACTGAAGGCCCTCCTATAGCCTTCATCCAGCAGCTGGTGGAAGTAGAAGCAGACACCGACAGCTAAACACTGAACTGAAATCCAGTTGCAGAGAAGGAGGAGTGATGAGCAAAGGGGTCCAGAACAGGCTGGTGAAACCCACCGAAACAGCTGACCTGAAACAGGGGGAGAGGCTGGTCCCCAGACTGATAGCTGGGAAACCAGCATGGGACTGATCCAGACCCCATGAATGTGGGTGTCAGTGAGGAGACCTGGGAAATCTACGGGGCCTCCTGTAAAAGATCAGTACTTATCCCTAGCATAGGTATGGACTTTGGGATCCCATTTCACATGGAGGGATACTCCCTGAGCCTAGACACATGGGGGTGGGCCTAGGCCCTATCCCAAAGGATATGGCAGACTCTGAAGACCCCTTGTGGAAGGCCTCACCCTCTCTGGGGAGCAGCTTTCTGTGATATGTGGTATGTGATAGGTAGGGTTTTAGTTGGGGGGTGGCAGGGGAAGAGGGGAGGGAGAGGGAACTGGGATTGACGTGTAAAACAATCTTGTTTCTAATTCAAATAAAAAAATGAAAAAATAGTTACAGGTCCACCTAGATTCAAGGGAGTAAAGAAAAGAATCCTAGCTGTTGATAGAGGTGTGGCCAGTAGGTCAGGGGATATCAACACAGTTTGCGAAAGCAGTTCTCCTCAATGCTCTTTTATGGAGGATCTGAATATTTTTGGCAATCTTATAATCAACCATAACTAATCCATTGGCTTGCATTGTTGCCAGTTCTTACGATAGGCTGCTTGGAGGTTGACTGAAGCCTAATCAAGAGTATGCCATGATTTTGATCTGATTACCATTTAGCTAAGGCACTAAGCAAAGATACTTAGGCACTGGAGAGTGGCACGTGGTGGTAGAAGTGAGTGAATGAGAGTTGTGAAAGGAAACGGGTAAAAGGATCAAGAAGCAACACTTCACATAGGTGGAAACCTTGCTAGCTTTGAAGCCATTCTATCACAGAGGAGAGCTGGGGATAAACAGAGGCGGGGAGCCAGAAACCATTGAGTTCATTTTTGAGGCCAATGTCAACCACCTATTTTAACTCAAGGAAAAGATTTGCTGGGACCATAGTGGTTAAACTTGATTCTGGAAATAGGGATTTAACTCACAGGTGCCTGAGTCATAGTTTCTCAATGTTTTAGGTCAGGTTGCTAAACTAATAACAACAACAACAACAACAACATTAACAAAGCTGGGTGACTTAAGCAGCCAGCATTTCTTTCTCCTAGTTGGAGACTGGAAGCCCTGAGCCCGGGCACTAACACTGTGGGGTTCTGATGAACATGTTTTTCTGGCTTCACTGGCAGCCATTTGTTATGTCCTCCCATGGCTGCAAGAGGAGCAGCTAGCCCTCTAGACTTTTTTACAGGAGCAGGGACAGCATCATGAGGGCTCCACTCCCACAACATTACCACTTCCTGATGTCTCCTCTCCCAAACCTCATCTCACTAGGATTATGAATTTTGGAGACCCAGTCAGGCCACGGGGTTATATGACATGATAATAGATGACACTTTGAAGTGACAGACCCTAGTATAATCAGAAACATGTTGGAGTTCCTTTTTTAAATAGTTATACAATTTCATGCATAAATTAATTACCTTGTACTGAGCACCAGACTGCATGCTGATAGTAATGGAATCCCTTTAGCCCTCTCCATCTGTTCCTTGCAGCTCAACGTCAGTGCTTTGCAGACAGCCACCCGGAATGGCCACACATCCCTTGTCAACTTTCTTCTCAGTGAGAACGCTGATCTGCAACGGCAGAAGGAAGTGAGTCCATGCAAATCAACACAGGCTTGGGTGCCAGTGCTGCGAAGCTGGCTGTGCAAATGCCCCTGGATGAGATATTTCATGAGGGAGGGATTCTTTTTAGGGAACACTGGCTTTTGTTTTGTTTTTTGAATCTTAATCATGAGAAGTAAAGTCCAAGGAGTGAATTTTAGAAAGTCGCTGAAGTCCCTGCACAAAACAAAATCTTTATGTTTAAGATATGTTTGCTACAGGAAGTTTCAGGTGTCTAGAGGTGCCTCTACTCCTGTAGGGGTCTCACCAGCCTGGGAAATGCCACCGTGGTCCCTGCTGTGGATGTGGAGAAAATGGATCATTTCCCCATCTCTGAATGAGCTTGTGGTTTTTCAAAGTCAATCCTTTATTACTGATTGAGGTTTTTCTGAAGTTTGGATTGGCTTTGGCAGAACAAACAGAGGCCCTCTGTGCTGGAATCTGACAAGAAACATGCCTCTATTTCCCACTGTATTTTTCTCTGTCCTGTGAATATTATTTTCTCTGTTTGTGCTGAGCCGTTTCCATTCATAGCACTGATTTGAAAGGAGGGATGTGATCTGGACCATGTCGGATAATTTTTATAGAGCATTGAGTTAGAGGGATTGGCTCTAATTTACCTAGCTCAGGCCAAGGAGGCTTCCTTATTCTCAGGAGAAGTGGGGTTCCAGCAAGGTGGGTGGCCCTGGCCAGAATACAGACCACGTTCTTGAGACAAAGGCTGCTGTCTCTTTGTTCTTGCTTTGTTCTTCGAGGGGGGAAGCTTATTTCCAAGCAGAGGAGACCCTCACAATCTCCCTCTCAGGTGCCACCTTGTCCCCTGGCTCACCCCCAGACAGCCTCTCACTCAGCCATACAGCCCTCCCTGTTCCTTATGTCTGGTTCATCGGCCCATCCCCATCGTGCAGATGGAGAACTCTGGAAGGTCTGTGTTCAAGGCCTGTCTTCCTCTTCCTGGTTACTGTTCTGGCCGTGTGTAAGTTAGGGGGTATTAGGTCCAACTCCTAGGGTTACCATGGATGCCACAGCTTTTAAGAGCTGTTATTTAACCTAGTCTTGTTTTGCCGAATGTTTCTGAGCCAGGGTCTTACTGTGTAGCCTGAGGTAGCCCGAAACTCCCCTATGTAGCCCAGATTGACCTGATACTTAAGATCCAGCAATGCCTGCCTACCTGCCTCATGAGTGCTGAGATTAGAGGCCTGTGCCACACCTGCTTAACCTAGTGTTTGAAACAGGATGAACATTGCGGGTGGTGAGTATGTAGTAAGTACCATGAGAAGATACCCTGAGTGTGCCTGCCTCTACACTTGAGTGGTGCTGCAGGTTATCCTAACCGCCCCGTTTCTGTTCTGTTCCCAGCAGCTCTGCTACCACCACTGGGCTGCAGTCTCACTGATTGCAGGCCAGTGCTCTCACGCTGGTCTGTGCCCCCTCCACCCTCTCCTTCCTCCACTCCGCACGTCCCTCATCTCACTCATCTAGTTCATGCCTTAACTGCTTTTGCCCCTTTGTTTGTTCATTGCTTTTTCCTCAGTCTCCTCCCAGAGAGCTTCACAGACCAGTGTGGCTGGGTGGAGGTGAGGCAGCAGGGGCATTTGAGACAGTGTGTGGTGATGGACTTGGTGTCTGGCGGGCTGAGTAAGAGAGGGGATGGATGGAAGGAGTGAGCGGGGTCAGGAGATCCAGGCGGGGTGAGGTAATGAAGACAGGTTGTTTAGTGAAAGGAGGAGATGAAGGAGCAGGCTGCTGAGACTGGCCACCGCCCACCATGGGTGGCCTCTTTGCAGGAGCGCTGCGCCCTGAGTAGACAGGACCACCAGCCCTGCTGCAGATCACGGGAACTGAGTGTAGCTTACAGCTGGCCAGGAAATGCCGACTGTGTATACATTTCCTCCTTTGTGGCCACTCCTTTTGTCCTTTGGCTCTTGAAGGCTTGGAGAAGTCCTCAGCTGAGCCTTCTTAAGACTTCCTTGTCCAGTTCTTCAAGGAAGCCTTTTCTAGCTTCCAGAAGGGTCAGCCCTCCCTGTTCCCCATGCCATCTCAGCTCATTTGAGGTTTCCTCTAAATCACTTAAACTTTGAAACTAAATAGCTGTGTGACTGAATTTAAAAAAAAAAAAAGAGAGAGAGAGAGAGAAAGAGAAAGGAAAGAGAAGGACCATTTGTTTCTAGATGTGGTGGAGGAGTAAGTTTATTATAGATACATGGGAGAGCTTAGCCAGAGGCAGGGACATCTGGGAGAGTCCAGAGTGGACATAACCAGTCTGAGCTGGGCCATCTGAGGAGGTGGGGGAGGGGAAGGGAGAGAGGAGAACCAGGTGCAGCAGCCAGGAGGCCCAAAGGTACAAAAGGGGCAGGTAACCAAAATTATTGGATTATATAGGGAAGAGCAACCCAGTCCCCTGGGCTGGAGAGTTCAGGGTAGGGGGTGGAGTATGCCAGCCAGGTATGGACTGAGGGATACTGGGACAACCTGATGGCCAGTGTCTGCTTTGATATGTTAAATAGGCATCTCAGCTGTTTGTCCCAGGTTTGAAACCCAGCAGTGACTTCATTAAAAGATAAACCTCTAACCCCTGAGGAGATGGGCCCATACATAGCAGGAGCTTGTCATTTATGCCCAGAATGACCGGAAGCCTGGGGATGACACAGATTGCTGGAGGCTTCCTGTGGTCCCACACAGAGGTGGACTGTTTTAATTCTCAGAGATTACCAGAGAGTGATGGCTGAGATGAATTGCTTCAGGATTTGAATGCTGAAGCTTCAATTTTGGATTTGCAATTTTTCTTTCTTTCTGTAGCCCAAGGAGTCCCCTCTTCACTTAGCAGTCATCAACAACCACCCCACAGTTGTGAACAGCTTATTAAGCGCTCGGCATGATGTTGACATCTTAGATCAGGTAAGCTGAGCAGGTGGGGCCTGGAATCTGCTCTCGGTGTTTCAACACCAGGTGTGAGCAGGGAGCTCCGTTTAGGTTCAAGGTGCCTAAAAAAATTTTCTGGGAGGCAGCATGTGCACCATTTTTTCATCACGTTTCCTCTGTAACCCGTATCCTTCACCCGCACTTCTGTTTTCTGCCCGGGCAAACTGAGATTCTGTGGGTGTGTAATCAAGTCGTTCATTTTTAAGAGGCGTAGCCAGGGCTTTGGATAAACAGTGCCAAGGCAAATTGCCAGAAGCTCTTTAAATCAAAAGCCGCTCCCACAGTGTGAAATGTTTTCCTTGGCCTGAACCTGGTTCCCATAAGAAGGAAGCTTAGTTTCCATGTTGAGTATCTTCTATGCCAGAAGGCAAAAGAGACTCTGAGAATTAAAGCAAACAAACAAATAAAAAGATCACCAGGTATTCAATGAACTGGGACCGAATCAAACATCCCAGCTGGAGATGGAACCCCGTGGAGCAGCAAACAATGGACTCTTGTAGCCTCTGCGAGCTGCCCCCTTCCAGGAGACGCAAGCAGGTCTGAGCCACGCGCAGCCTCCTTTTCCGGGCAATCTTTACCTGCGTCCTCTAAGTTAGGGGCAGGCCAGCATGTGGAGGCACACCTGTCCCAATCTACCCTTCCCCATTTCTTCACCTGCTGAAACAGAGCATGATTTGATCCCTCTTGGGTCTCCTCCAGCTCCAGCCTTTTGGTTAATTTTTGACCTGAGCAGAAGGGAGACTTACCTGCACTCCATCCCTCCCTCCTTTGGGGTGCCTCCCTCCTTTGTGTTATATTAGCCCACAAGTTGGGGTCAGAATTCCATGGCTTGCTCAAAATTGTTAATATTTCAAATCTTTCCTAAAGTGAAAAACTTTTGTTAAATGGACAGTGCCTTGTGTTCATGTGTGATTTTGGCTCCTACAGAACTGGCTTGATCCCACTCTAGGGAAGGAGTGTTTGTCATGCCTGCCTATCAGTTACACAACTAGACCTTATCAGGTCCAACTTTTTGTTACGTCAGTAATACACAGACAAAATTAAAAAAATATATTTTTCACATGAATTATATAGAATCAGAATGTATAAATAAATATGTCTAAAAAGGTCATTCTTCTGAAGAAAGCTAACTCTTGTTTTTGGTGTTTCCTGTGTCCTGGACTTAGAGCAATATTGTCAAGCACATCTGTTGAAGCAGCACACTTGTACCTGTGTCCTGTGTTGGTAGACAGGCCTTTGATGGGTTTATCCCTGTGCGTACTGGGTGATGAGCCCCCAGAGAGGCACACTGCCACCTGCTGGTAGCCTTTACTAGTTAAGCACATTGGCTTTGCCATTTTTGGTAGGAAGAGAACTGCTTCAGGCTACTGTGCAGCCCTTCCCTGAGGAAGTGGCTTTCTCAGCCAGGTGCAGGAGTGGGTCTAGATCATATCCAAGGTTCCTGTCTGTCTGGTTGTCTTTCTGTAGCAGGTCAGGGTGGTGATCTTCTGTTTGCATGGATTACACTTTCATCCTCTTGGTAGAAAGTGAGTACTCCACCAAGAAATTAGAAATCTTTCACAATAATGTAGAAAGGGGGGGAAGCATCAAGAAAGCAGTAAAATAACCTTTAGTCTCTCCGTCTAGACATCACCATTTTTAACATAACAAATGGATTTTTTCTTTTTCTGTGCATTTATAGATTAAACTTAGCTAGACATAATGCCTGGTCTCCTAAAGCTTTTTTTTTTCTTTTCTTCTCTTTTTTTGTTTTTCCTAAATCTTTTTTTTTAAGAAAATGATTTATTTGTTTTTATGTGCATGTATGTCTGTGTGAGGGTGTTGGAACTCCTGGAACTGGAGTTACGACAGTTGTGGGCTGCCATGTGAGTGCTGGGAATTGAACCCAGGTCTTCTGGAAAAACAACTAGTGCTCTTAACCTCTGAGCCATCTCTCCAGCCTCCTTCTAATATTTTTTAATATTATGTCATAAATAGTTTTCCCTTTATGTAAGTCTTTGAAGCCATTTTATTACAGTCAAATGCATGACATTAGTAATCATTTGAATAATTTTTAAGTGTACAGTGCTATGACATCACAGAACTTCCCCTTTCCCACTCCCCAGCTCCTGGAAACTGCTGTCCTTCCTGTCTTATGAATTTGTCAACTCTATGTACCTTGCACTGAAAATGTATTTTTGAAATGAGGTATCATTACACTTCTCAGATGGGTCTCAAACTCCTGGGCTTAAGGACTCCTCCTACCCAGCCTCCCATGCAGCTGGGACTATGCTTCCAGGACCACACGCCTAGCTCTGAGGTTGATCTAATAGTTTCTGATATCCTGTGTATTTACATAAGGTTTATATAATGTCTCATTACCAAGCACAAGTAACTCAGGAGAGGTAGGGCAGTACGGAAACTGCCGATGTGACCATTCCTGGGGAAAGGTTTTTATTGTTATTGGAGAGAGGACATCCAGAGGCATCTGGAAGAGTCCAGAGCAGAGAGAAAAGCAAGCAGACGGTACATGGTCAGGGCTATCTTCTGGAGAGAGTGAGAGCATATGGGGGGAGAATAGCGGAGCTAATCCGAGAGAATCGCAAGAGAGAGAATAGAGCATAGTGAGAGAACAAGGGAGGACAGCATCAGAGAGGAAGAGTGGGGGTGGACAAACCGTGTGGATTAGAAGGAGGACAAATGGGTGGGGGTGGGAAGGTTCAGGTAAGGTGCTTGTGATACTGAGGGAGCCTGGAGGCCAGCCTGGACTTTGATAAGCTGATAGGCCCCACAGGCACCCATATGTCCCTTCTGCCAGAGATAAGGAAAATGACTCCTTTTGGCAGATGGGAACCTGTTTCACCAGTTCCTGAGGAATGCTGGCTTTTATCTAACTTCCAGGAATCCTTCTGAAAATAGTCCAGTTTGAGCTAATCTCTGGATATTTGAGAAGCCTGTGACCTAACTGTAACTTCCTCTAGTCTTTCAGTTAAATTTTAAATGCTGCTGCCATGTGTGCCCTGGTGCCCATATAAGGATATGTCTTTACTCATTTCCCCTGGAAGCATGTATGGCATGATCTCCTGCTTGTGCTTCCATAACAGTTTGGCATCTCTCGTGGCAGAGGCAGCAGACCCCTCTGCATGTAGCTGCTGATCTTGGGAATGTGGAGTTGGTGGAGACACTGCTGAAGGCCGGCTGTGACCTGAAAATCACTGACAAGGTAACTGCTGTGTTCACTGTTTCCTGAAATGGCAGCGGAGACCTCCCTATTGGTTGCCATGTAGCTAGGAACACCAGACTTCCTTCTGAGAGATTGGCATGAACTGCGTCTCCATAGGCAGGAAAACACCTAGATTTACTTATTATTTATTTATTTGTGTGTGTGTGTGTGTGTGTGTGTGTGTGTGTGTGTGTCACATGGAGGCCTGGAGGCCAGTGGTCAATGTTAGGACTGCTCGCTACCATTTATTTATTTATTTATTTATTTATTTATTTTTGAGACAGGATCTCTCATTGAAACTGAAGCTAGTGATTTAGCTAGACTGGTTGACCAGCAAGCTCCAGGGATCCATTGTCTCCATGCCCTTGGTCCTGGAGCTATAAGGGCAAGCCTTTTTACATTGGTGCTTGCATGGTAAGCACTTCACTAATTGAGCCATCTCCCAAGCCCTACATCTCAATCTTTTTAAATGATATCTCTATTTATTTTCAAACACCATTTTTGCAATATCTTATTCATTCTTTGAGAATTTCATAAAATTCAAAAAATGTCTTTTGAAAAGATTTTTCACACTCCCATCTGCTCTCATCACCACTTCCAACCTCCCATCCCTGCCCATCCAATTTCTAGATTTCTTCTTCTTCCTCCTTCTTCTCCCCATCTCTCTTCCCCTTGTCATTCTTTTACTCTTCCTTCTTCTTTTCTGTCCTTATCGAGCCCAGTTTGTGTTGTGCAGCTAATTGGGTTTGGGGCCATCCCTGGTATGTGGTCAGTCTACAAAGGATCACATCATTAAAGAAAATCATCCCTTTATTTTTAATAAGTTTTACGTATGCATTTAAGAATATATATTATAGCAGGGCAGTGGTGGTGCACGCCTTTAATCCCAGCACTTGGGAGGCAGAGGCAGATGAATCTTTGAGTTGAGGCCAACGTGGTCTACAAAGTGAGTTCCAGGATTGTCAGGCCTACATAGAGAAACCCTGCCTTGAAGAAAATATAAAAATATATATATTATATCACACACACACACACACACAGAGAGAGAGAGAGAGAGAGAGAGAGAGAGAGAGAGAGAGAGAGAGAGAGAATAAGTTTTAAAGATGATAAGGGGATTACATGGGAGAGTTTGGAGGAAGGAAAAGACCTATATCTCAATCTTGGTTGAGATCTGTCTATAAGAATTATTATTCAAATGACAAAAATATCTGTCTTTAGGATTAAAAAACTAAGTTGTTTTTCAAGATTATAAATTCTTATGGTCCACATATCATGCTTGTATGTAAAGGTTTATAAAAATAATTTCCTATCTATACTTGTCTCTAACTTACCTGGTTTTAATACTACTGTGCCTTGTGTTTGCAATAATAACTCTGTTACTTGCATGTTTAAAGTATATTTTATCTTTATTCTGTTCTTCCATCTCTTTCTTAAACTTTTTCTTCTGTGTGTGATGTGTATGTTTCTGCATGTGTTTGAGTGCGTGTATTGGGTCTGTGTGTATATATGTGTGTTGACCTGAAATAGTTGGGGAATCTTCCTATACAGTTCTTTCTTATTCTTGGAGTCCAGGCCTGTCAATCAAACCCAGAGATCTGGATCCCCGTTACTGCTTGTCTTTCTAGCTACTTTGCTCTGGGGATCCTCTATCTCTGCTTTCTGAGGCTGGCTTTACATGTGAGTTGCCATGCCATCTGGCATTTTCTTGGGTTCTGGGGATCTTTGGTCCTCTTGCTTTCACAGCCACTGAGCCATTTTCCAAGCCCCATCTCTGCTCTCTAGCCCTTGTCTTACTATGTAGCTGAGGCTAGCTTGAATTGGAGATTCTCCTGTTTCAGTTGCCAGATTACATGTATTCACCACACACCTGGCCATTGTGCTGTCTTCTGAAGACAACAGTGACACACCAATATGCATACCCTTCTGCACAGAGCTCTATTGGGTGGGAGGGGTCTTTACAGACCAATGCGTGGAGAATTTCTTCATTATTTTCACAATGGCATGAACATATTACAATTCATTTAGTCTTGACAAGCTATCCTACATGTGTGCTTGAGGTTTGGTGAATAACTCACACGTCTAAACTCATCTTTGTAACTTAAATTGTTTTTCATTTTTCATTCTTTTTACATTGACTTTGTAAGTGTGTGTGTGTTGTGTGTGTGTGTGTGTGTGTGTGTGTGTGTGTGTGTGTGTTGCCCCTTTGGTCAGGTGTCAACCATGGTGCTAAGCACGTGATGTCTGCTTCTCTTATACCCTTTGTGTTCTCCCATCATTCTGTGGACCTCTGGGCTCAGGCACTTCTAAAAAGCCTCAATCAAGTTGGTTTCTCCTGGTACTCCTCCAGGGGCATCTGGCCTGGGAGAGAGTTGGTTCAGAACAAACAAACTGTTAGCAGGGTGTGCTTGTTAAACTAGTAACATGTGCACGCCAATTCCTTCCTTTTTATAGCACCAGGAACCAAAGTGTCTTTATCAAACACAATATGCCCCTTCCAGTCCTAGGGATAGAATCCAGGATCTTGCCCTTGTTAGGCAATTGCTCCACCTCTGAGCTCTGTCCCCAGTCCCAAACCTGCCATTTTCTTTTCTGGTCTCTACCTTCCTGACTTCAGCTCAGTGCCTCACTGGCTCTGTAGCTCAGTGTCATGAGTTCTACATGTGTCTGATCTGAGGTCATGGCGTTATTTTCCTTTTCTCTGTCAGGATTTTTTTTTTTAATCATAAAAGTAACACAAGCTGTGGACAATGTGGCAAACATGGAAAAGTGTAGGAAACATGACTGTTTACCCTAGGGCCTAAACTTGTGTGGAATGCCACTTAATCACCAGATGTGCCTGGTTGACTTCATTAACATTAAGCCTTGGTATTTTCCCATTCATTCTTTTCAGAGTAACTTATTCTGTGTTTCCATTCATATTTAATTCCTCTAAGGCAGTTTGGTGGGTAGAGGCTCTGTAGGAATTCTTGGGGGGTCCCTGGTATTAGTCAACTGGCTAGTCTAGTTGTCAAGGTCAACACTACCACTTTGCTTGTTTTTTAACCAAAAGCCTAGGGTTGCTAGCCCTCAGGATACAATGCCCACCTCCGTCTCCCGCCCCATTTTCCCTTCTCCTTTGCTCCTTTATTCTGTGGGTCTGGCCCATGGCAGATACCAGTACACATTTAACCCTTTCTACCTGCTCCCAACAGTAGATGTTTCTCCGATTGCATTAAGGTCTGGATGGGTAACTGGGCATGGTGATACAGGCCTTTGATCTCAGTACTGAATTGGAGTAAGAGGCAGATGGGTCTCTGGGAGTTTGTGGCCAGCCTGGTCTGCATAGCAAATTCCAGAATTCCAGGCTAGTTGCATAGTGAGACAAGAGAGAGAGAGACAGAGACAGACAGACAGAGAGAGAGACAGAGACAGAGACAGAGACAGGGACAGAGGGAAGGAGGGGTGAGGGAGGGAGGGAGAGAGAGAGAGGAGAGAGAGAGAGAGAGAGAGAGAGAGAGAGAGAGAGAGACTGAAAAAGGAGCCAATAGAGAGGCTTGATGTAAGCTAACTTGGTGGGGGGGGTGGTCACAAAGCTCTTGGCCTCCGTCTGCCTTGCTATCAAGGGCAGATGGCACCTCCACTCCAGTGTGTTGTTTCTTAAGGAAAGTTTCTCCAGCTTGAAAATTTTGACTTTTAGAATACTGCCTTCCCAAAATAGGCTAATTATGGTGATTCAAATGGCTTTACAAGGCAGAATGCAGACAGTATGCAATTAGAGACTTGCTAAATGCCTGCAAAATGCAATTCTTCCTAATTTCATTACCAGCTCTCCTGCTCACAGGCTGATTATGTTCGGTTCAGCCCCAACTTCCAGCTTCCCTGGGTCTTAGTGCCTGCACTAAAAACCATACCATTTGTGTTAGTGGGAATGCTACTTGTTGCCACTATCCAAACATATAAGAGTTATTGAGAGAAATTTCTGGATCTTTAAGGTTAGAAGCACAGGCTTCTAACATTGCATTTTTTCCCCCTGGAGTTATTTGTGACCATTGATTTTAGTTATATTTAGAGTCCCTGAGTGAATATGTCATGGGTCATTTGAAATGCACATAGAGGGCCTGGGGAGATAGTTTGGTAAGTAGAGTGCTTGTCTTGAAAGCTTGAGGATCTGAGCCTCATCCCTAGTATCCATGTAAAAATACCAATGCTGGGCATGGTACCATGCTTGTAAAAGCCCAGGGTGGTGAGGTAGAGACAGGAGCATCCCTGGGGCATGCTGACCAACCAGTCTAGTCTAACGGGTAAACCCCAGGCCAATAAGAGACCCTGTCTCAAAGGAGGTGCTACGTGTTTCTAAAGACAACGCTAAGGTTGTCTTCTGGCTTCTGCATGAACGCTCATACATGTACTTGGGCACACACATGTACATGGACACACACATGCACTTAAGGATAAAAGCAAATACAAACTATCCTCCTTTGTCAGGAAAACATGCATAGATGCAGAAATAGAAACTGTACTGGATAAAATCGAGGGACACAGCTTGCCAAGATGTGCTCCTTGGCTGTTGAGACAGCCATCATGAGCAGGGTTCACCTGTAATTTGTGTAAGACGTGATACAGGCTTCAGGCAGCATACATCCCAAGTTATGTCCAGATCAGACCTTTTTTACTCATCCAATTGGGTTATAATTGGAATACTTCAACCTTGGTTAGAGGCAGTATGCTATAAAAGACAAAACTCCTAGCTAGGAGCTCGTGAGCTGAATTCTATACTATGAACTGTGTTGTCATTATTGACATTGTTCTTGGATCCAGCCCTTTTTTTGTCTCATTACATCATCCTCCTCAAAATGAGGCTTCCATTTCCTGATCTAAAGTGGCTGCCCAGATTCCAACTGTTGTGTCAGCATTCCCCTTGGGAAGTGAAGGAATGAAAGAAGAATGTCATCTTTCCTCTCTTTGAAAATCTTTCCCAGGAAAAGAATGTGCCTTTGCATTTACATACCACTGGCCAGAATGTAGGTCTCATCCCTGACCATGAGGGAGTCTGGGAAATGTTAGGGGTGGCACACATCCTGAGAGTTCTGCAAGCACCATCATTTTCACTGCTCATTAGGACACCTGGGTGTAATTGCTGAGACCCACAGTGACTAAGGACAGGTGGCAGAATCGGGATCCCGGTGTAGGCCTATGCCAAGAAGCTGGAGCTCCCATCTAACAGGCAATATCACCCCACTCCCTCTTTTTAATTTAGCAAGGAAAGACTGCCCTGGCTGTGGCTGCCAGGAGCCATCACAGCCTCATCGTGGATATGCTCATTAAAGCTGAGAGGTACTATGCCTGGAGAGAGGTAAGAAAAGCCACTTCCAGCCAAATCAGGGACTATTTTGGCAAACCCCCATTTTGCAATGGGAAATGTGGGATGTGGGATCTATATAATCTTCCCACCCATAGTGAACCTTACTTGGTACAATGATGACTATCCCAGTGTTGTCCCTATTCATGGGATGGACAGCACCTCTTCCTCTCCCTCCTCCTCTTCATTTTGGGTGTCAACAGTCAGACCTGAGGTTGTGGGCCAGGCAGCCTCATCTATGGCAGCAGTGCTGGCCTGGCATGCCAGCCTTGATGGCTGACTCCACTGTGACCTCTGCCTCATGGTCTCCAGCCATGACCTGTCACAGAAGCTCCAATGAGTGGCACACATGGGAAGCATTTTGAGCTCTCCTGGCTCAGCTGGTTTTGCTGTAGTTCCATGTTGACTTTCTAGCACTCAAGTTTTCTGGGGCAATCCCAAACTTATATATCTTTGAATGCACAGATCTTATCTCTAAGCCACTTTCTGTCTTTATCTTTCTTTCCTCTGATTGTCTTCCAGTCACACATCTTGGTAGATTGTCCTTCCCTCCAAGATTCAGGTCTGTGCCCTCAGGCAAGATGCTCAGACACAGGACACCCATCCCAGCTTCTAGACCTGTTCTGTTTCTCAGTTTCCCTCTTGGGTACATGGCTATTTCTGGGCCAATGTGTCATGCCAGCATAGCATACATGCCCATATGGCTTGGGTGTCTACTGTGGAGAGACTACAAACCTGGATTGCTGTCATTGGCCAATCCTGTGATATTCTCTTTTAAATCTGTAAAGCAAGAATGTTTACTGTTTACTTCCCTCTCATAAGCCAGCTTGGTAGTATGGATATATAGTCATATGTCAATCAATGACAAGGAAACTCAAGACATGTCGTTAGGCAATGTGATCATTGTGTCAATACCACTGAGCACTCTTACACAGCTACATACCTGGGTCAGTTTAACCACTGTCATTTATGTGATCCATGATTATCCACATAGCTCCGAAACTCATGGCCAGGTACGGAGTCTTTCAATGGTGACATAGCTTCCTTCCAACTGTTCTTGCATGTAGAACAATAAAGTCTGTTTTGCCTATGAAACAACAGTTTCTTGTATACAAGTAGAATTCTGTTTAATCTTCCTCTTCTGACTTATTTTTATTGTCCCTTTTTTGTCTTCTTGCTTCTTTATCCTTCTGTTCATTTTCCTTTTTTTTATCATTTTCTTAATCATCTTTATGTTGCTAAAGATTCAGATTGCCTTTCTCTTGTTCCTTACATGCTTTTCTACTTTTCACTTTAAAAAATCAAGCTGTTCAAGCCATCTATTTTTAATGCCTGTTAGCAGTTTCATGTATCTTTTGTCTAGATGATAATAAATAACTTTTCTACCAATTAAACCCGTCTTTTTTAAAAAAAAAGTCCTTGAGAGATAGTAGATATAAGACTTTGAGAACCTTGTATGATGTACAAATAAAGCTGAAGGAAGACCTCAGAAATAGTCCATTGAGAACTATTGTGGTAGCTGAAGTCCTCAGAAATAGTCCATTGAGAACTATGGTGTAGCTGGAGTCCTGAGGTCTGTGGTGGTGCTGGGAAAACTTGCTTTTAAATAAATAGCATTAATTTTTTTCTCTTTTTAAAGTTTACCAAAGGCATTTATTATTTTAAATAATTTTTCATTAATCAAACAAATTTATATCCTGGTTTAGTACAAAATAATTACCAATAAAAACTTTAAAGAGATCATTTGAACTTTTATAACTACTTACATATGTTATGTTCATCCATATCCCATTTAAATGACCTATATGTTGTTTCTACATATACACATACATATTTAACCATTATACATCATTAAATTCAGTGGTTCAGAGGCAAAGGATACTTCTTAAATCTGCCTTACACTAGTAAGATTTTATTTGATATATTTATTATTATTGTGGGGTGTGTGTGTGTGTATGGAGAGAGAGGGAGAAAGAGAGAAGAAAGAGAGCGCGTGCACTGGCTGTTCACTTAGAGGCGTGGTCTCTGCTGTTGTTTCTGTGGAGTACTGCAGGCTACTATCTTCTCTTCCTCTCACCTCACTGTGGAAGGAAGTCCTAGGACTGCAGATGTGCACCGGTGCATGCAGCTTTTTAAAGTGGGCTCCAGGGATCAAACTCAAGTTGCCACGCTTGTGCAACAATCACTTTTAGTGGCTGTGCCATCTTTGCAACCCTGTTTTTATGCTTTTCACTCTCTACCGATTCTGGCACTTCAGCAACCAGGTCAGTCCCAATGCTTTCACTGCTAGAAAAGACCTGGGCTTTCCAAGTCCCCTGCTCTTCCCATAGATGCCTGAATGTCCACCCTGCCCCAAAAGCTAGGATGCAAAGAGTACAAGATTCTCCAGGAAATAAAAAACGCATAAAGCAAAGGTAAATGCATGCTGCTTGATGTTTTGATCTCACTAGGAGTGTCGTTTTCTGAGAAGGAATGAGGAGAAAAAGTAAATTTTGTTGGTGCTCCCATCTCAGCTTTTAGGATTCCTGGAAACAAGGCATTGTGACAGCAAAGCCAGGGTGCACTGGAGAAGACTACAATTTAGTCTTGTGAACAGTGTGGATGCCTCACACCTTCTGTTCCCATTGCAGTTTCTGCACCCAAGGCCGAATACCAGTAGAAGGCCCTGCCCCGCTCCTTGTCTGAGATCCCCAGGGGTGTGCAGAGCTTTTTGGAGGCAGTGAGGCTGAGTGCAGGCCCACTAAGTTTTCCAAACTCTTGAAAGGCAGGGTCCCATACCCTTTGCCCTTTTCCTCCCTTGGCATTAACTCCCATCTTGTTTTTAGAGTATCTTTCATTAGGATTCACTTTTATTTAACTGGAAGACTAAAATAGAAGTCATTATACAGAAAAAAGGAGATGAGATAGGATGTCTTAGCTAAACCTTTTGGTGAGTCATGTCTTCCATTCCCTTAATGGAGCTGTAATCTTCTGCAGTCCTAATGGCATATATGTGGTATGCCGTTCTAGGAA